GTTCTGCTGGGGGCCGGGCCGCGCGCTCTCGGGCAGCGGGTCGGTGGTCCCGGGACAGGGGTGCGGGGGTGGGGGCCGGGAAGGCCGCGGTGCGGCGGGTCCTCGCTGGGCATCGGCCCGGGGGGACTTGGGGGTGACGGGCGGCGAGCGGCCAGGGTGCGGGGTGCCGGGGGCGCTGTCTGAGTCTCCCCCAGGGCCCCCGGGGGCTGGCCCACCCCCATCCAGGCAGCCCCTCCGGCCTTTCGGGGCAGTGGGAGCTGACGTTGAGCCCAGTGGGCCCGCAGGCACCCGGCCCGGGCTGCTGAGAGCTGGGCGTCACGGCGTCACGCCGGTCTGGTGTCTGAGTTTCCTCCTTGGAGCCGGGATCGCCGGTCTGGGAGGAAACTCTGTTGCAATCTGTTAGCGTTAAGGCTCGGGATGTTGCAAACAATTCCTGTGGCCGCGGGGAGCTCCTGCGGGCTGGCTGAGCCCATGGCGGGAGGAGGGAGCCCTGCGTCCACTGGGTGAGGCCGGGCAGTGGGTGCGGGGTGAGGGCACCTGCGGGGAGCAGCCTCCGGGGGGCAGCGGGCTGTCCCGGGCAGGCACGCCCGCCCCTGGTCCTGTCCTGCAGGTCAGCCTCTGCTCCGCAGGCTGAGGTTGGCGGGGCCTGGCCAGTCCCGTGGCCCCCGGGGCTTGTTACTCAATAGTCCAGCAGGACATGGCACGGGCCTTTCTGTCCTGTTTTTTACTTCATTTCCGAGTGTGGGGTCCGTGTGCTCACCACTCACAAGTGCTGGGCTGTCTCCACAGCGATCGCGCGCCCTGTGCACTCACAGGTGTGTCCGCGCTGAGGGTCCCCGGTGCGCCCTGTCCGGGACCCACAGGGCCTGCCCTGTCTTATTTATTAAACAAGCCTGGAGCGGCGCGGCCGCCGGGGCCTGCAGAGAAAGGAGGCGCGATGGTGTAGACAGGCTTTCCCACCGAAATGAAGCTGCGGAGTCAGCTGGTTTCGCGTCTTCACTTCCCTCTGGGCTGCAGCCTCTACATTCCATCGGTCCCAGAGCTGCTGCTGTGGAGGGGCTGGGCTTGATCCAAAGAGCGGGGCGATCCCTGCTGTGGGGTCCCCGGTGTCCCCTGGGAGGGGAACAGTTATCTGTAGGGCGACAGGGAGAAGCCCTACGTCGGGGCCTGGGTGAGGCGGGCATGCGGGCCCTGTCCCCTGTGCCACCTAAGGTGAGGGATGTGGTCAGTGAGCAGCCAGAGAGGACGCTCGGGGGCTCTGCGGCTCCAGGATGGCCGGGCGGGCCAGGGCAGGTCCAGCAGGGGCATGGGCGGCTCCGATGGCCTGGCTGGGTCCCTGCGGATCCCCACAGCCTGGCCTCGTCCTATGGCTCAGGCGCTTCCCTGGCCTGGGCATCGCTGTGGGTGCTCACAGCCCAGAAACCAGTGCGCGCAGCTGTGCAGACGCGGGAGGTCCTGAGCAAGGGTCAGCGAGGGAGAGGTTAGGGACTGAGAGGGGCAATAGGACTTGTAGCGAGTTGTGTCTGTAGCGAGTTGTACTGGTTGTGTCTGTGGGAGCTGTGTATGTGTGGAGCTGTGTGTGTCCGTAATGAGCACCATCTTCAGAGGGGCACCTACAGGCCGGACGCCAGTCTGGGGTTTCTCAGGGTGTGACCTGGAAGGACAGTGTATTCCTGGACTCCCAGTCCTTGGAGCCAGCTCCGTTCCCCCCTGGGGTGCTGGCACCACCCCTGCCCTCCTGCCCTCGGTGTGGGCCTCTCACTGCCCCTGGCACCTCCCATCCTGTCGCAGGCATCGCACCGTCAGACAGTCCAGCTTGTGGTTCAGAAACTTGAGGGCCCCGTGCTGGGGTCCGTGTGCTGGCCCCTCCTGAGTCCGGGCAGTCGGGGCAGCTGGCCAGTGGTCCCTTGTCTTACAGCCTTTGCTCTTGCAGTTTCCCTCGCCCGGCAGTCCACTTTGGCCACCTTCCCTGACCCCTGCTCTTGTCCCAGGGTCCACTGCCCTGTGCCGTAGATGGGGGCTGGGGAGTCGGAGGAGGGGGCAGGAGGGAAGGAGAAGGGGGCAGGAGAGGTCTGTTCGGAGCTCCAGGACGGCCAGGCGTGGTGTGCTTGGTGCGTAGCTCACAGCGAGAGCCACCACAGCAGCAGGAGGCCCTTTGCCATCGTTCGGTTCTCTCACCGGAGGAAGGGAGAAGCTGAACTGTCCCCCTCGGCTCATAGGGCCTCACCCCAGGTGGCACTGGAGACCATGCCAGCTCCGTGGCCTGCACCTGCCTGTGGGCACCCGGGAAGGCAGGCAGAGCGGTGTGCTGGCGCAGGGCTGGCACGTTCCTCAGGCACGGGCACAGAAAGCCGCAGCCTGGGCGGCCTCAGCGGCACCGGGCGGTCCCTCGTCCCTGGTCCCGCCCCTGCGGAGCCTGTGCGTCTGAGAGCTGGGCCCTGGTGCTCCGTGCTGAGCGGTGGCCAGCTGAACACGCTGGCGCGTAGCAGGTGCTGCGTGATAGAAGTGGGCCCCCAGCCTGCCCGTGCCTGTTTCTCATCCCCTGGCAGCCCTGGCCCGGTGTGGGAGGAAATGTGTTCTTAGCTCCTGGACAGCAGAACCAAGGTTCGAACCCACTGAGCGGCTGCTCTTGGCTCCTTGGTCCCAGTGCCCTGGCGCCCTCATCCCGCCCCCCACCAACAGCCCTGCTCTGGCACTTCCGAGGGGACCGGGTCGCGGTCAGCCTCCGGGCTTGGCCAAGGGCACGGTCACGCAACCGCGCAAAACGGGAACCAGCCCCTCTCTGGCCGTCAGGGAGAACTGAGGGCGCCGGCCGGAGCTCTGGGTGCGGGGTCACGAGGGGTCCTCTGGGGGAGGGCTCCTCCCCGCCCAGCACTCAGAGTCCTGCCCCGAACTCACCTTCCCCAGCCGGTGCCCTGGGACTGCCTGGTGCTCGCCCTGCCTGGCGGGCAGGGGACGGACGTGCGGCACAAGCAACTGTGCACTCTGAGGTCCGCCAGGGCAGCCACAGAGAGGCCGGCCATTACACGCGGGTCCCAGACAAGCACCTCATGGGGAGACTTGGGGGGTCGGGGGTAGGTGGGGAGGTGGCAGGAGAGGGGAAGGTCAAGGCCAGGCCCTTTTGGGCTTTCCCGGGAGGGGCAGGCGGGCAGGGGACACGCAGGGTGGCTGGAATGAGCAGTTGGGGGCCTGGGGCTGTCGGCGTGGGCCCTGGTTGCCTGGCACCTGGCCTGGCCTCAGGCTCTGGATGGCTGAGGGTGGGGGGCCCCAGGCTGTCCAGGCGTGCTCCTGGCTGTGCTGGGGGATGCATCTCTCTAGCCAGGGAGGCAAACATCAGAACCGGCGGGAAAACCCCTCGCCCACACCCACACCCACACCCAGAGCCAAGTGCTCTTGCTGCCTCTTAACCCGGAGTTGCACCAGGTCTGTGTACAGAACAACTTTGTTTTACGTCAAACACGTTTTATTTCACGAGGTCACGTCCTGGGGCATGTGTCCACTCTGCACCTGACTGCTCCCCCGGCGGCTTCGCCAGGGCCGCCTGCCTCCTGGTGGGTCCCGCGGGCGGGTCCCCGGAGCAGGTGGATTCGCAGGTGCCTTCAGGGTCACAGACGTCCCGTGTGTGGCCGGGACTCGCAGAGCTGAGCCTGTCGAATCCGCCATGCCCGGGCGTCTGCGCTGCCCGCGGTGGGCCCCGAGGTGGAGGCCCCCCAGGCTGGCCAGGGGTCAGCACAGGGCAACGTGAGCACGCTGGGGCCTCCGCTGGGGAAGGTGGCCGGTGGGAGCTTGTAGGATGGCCCTTCCCAGCCCAGCGCAGCCCTGGCCTGGGAGGGCCAGGGGGTGGAGGTGGCAGCTGGGCCTGAGGGCCAGCGGGGTGTGGGGGCCCGCTAGGTCCAGGCTGGGACCAGGAGAGCCCGTGTTTTCAGAAACTAGAGGTTCACTGAGCAGCAGCGGGGGAGGTGCAGGAGGCCGGGGGCCTGGGGCTCCGAGGTCAGGCAGTCAGGCTCTGACCTTCTGTCCTCACACAGACCAGGCGGCCTCGGGCCTGCTGGGACCTCTGTGCATCAGATCCCGGCTCAGTGATCTCTGTCCGTCAAACCCAGGTCACTGAGAAGCACGGTGTGAGGGCAGCATCGCAGGGCTGTGCAGGGGGCCTGAGTCTGCTGAGGAGAGGAGCTGGTGACGGGTAAGCCCGCGCACAGCACTCCCCTCCCATACCCTGCGGCCGCAGGAGGAAGTGGCCTGAGCCGGTGCCGTGAACTCTCCCCGCGGTCCTCGTGATGTGCTCGGTTTAGTTAGGGGTGTTTCCCGGTTAGGTTAGAAGGAGGACCTGCTTTTCCTCCGTCCACGGGGTCACGGGGGCACCGACACCTACTGTGTGCCGACCGGCTGGGTCCCCGGACGCAGCACCTCCGCGGTGCTCTCCGCAGAGCTGAGACCCGGGCCGCTGGGCCTGCCCCAGGCAAGCCGGCGTGTCGTCTGTCCTGGGCCTGAGCTGGGAATGGGCCCGCAGACGGGGGAGGTGCTTGTAGGCAGGCCCTTCCCCGCCCAGGTAAGGCGAGAGGCTGCATCCAGGGTAATACCTGGGGCAGGGGTCCTCAAACTTTTTAAAGTGGGGGCCAGATCACGGTCCCTCTGAGAGCTGGAGGGCGGACTATATGAACTACTAATTCCTACTGTAACACCTCGGCTGCGCTCACTGCCCAAAAAACCTGGCGGGCCAGATCAGACTCCTCTGCGGGCCGCATGTGGCCTGTGGGCCGTAGTTTGAAGACCCCTGACTGGGGTCTGGCCTGGGATGGCCTCGGCCGGTTAGCGGCTGCGCCTCCTGTCCCCGCTGGGCCTCCCGTCCTCACTGACTTCCTTTCTCATGGTGACCAGTGGGCGTCTCCGTGCTGTGCCAGGACCGCAGACGGCCGTGAGGGTGAAGTGAGGCGGACCTGAGCCGTGTTGTCCCGCTTCCTGTCAGCCGACGTCAGGCCCTGTCTTCTCTTCCTCAGGCTGAGGGCGGATCCATGAGGACCCCAGCGGCCGCGCTCCCGCCCTTCGTGTTGGACGAGACTCGGCGTGGGGCCCGGCGGCCCTGAGCTGACCGCGGGCGCCGCGACCGGGCACTCGGGACCATGAGTCTCGCGGGCGAGCAGGGCGCGTCCGAGAGCGTCTTCGAGCTGGACTACGCCTCCTGGCCGGTCCGCGCCGCGCTGGTGGCCGCCGGCTTCGCCTTCTACCTGGGCGTCTTCGTGGTGTGCCACCAGCTGTCCTCCTCCCTGAACGCCACGTACCACGCCCTGGTGGCCAAGGAGCAGGTCTTCTGGAACCTAGCGGCCACGCGGGCCGTGTTCGGCGTGCAGAGCACGGCCGCGGGCCTGTGGACGCTGCTGGCGGACCCGGTGCTGGCGGCCGACAAGGTGCACGCCCAGCAGAGCTGGTCCTGGTTCCACGTGGCCACGGCCACCGGCTTCTTCGGCTTCGAGAACGCGGCCCTGCACCTGTCCAACGCGCGCTTCCGCACCTTCGACCCCTTCCTGGCGCTGCACCACCTCTTCGCCTTCCTGGGCTTCCTGGGGCTGCTGGCCAACCTGCAGGCCGGCCACTACCTGGCCATGGCCACGCTGCTGCTGGAGGTCAGCACGCCCTTCACCTGCGTGTCCTGGATGCTGCTGAAGGTGAGTGCCCCCCGGGCACCAGCAAGAGCTGTTTTTGGCTGAATTTAATTTAATTTAATTTAATTTTAAAATTTGTTTATTGATTTCAGAGAGGAAGGGAGAGAGATAGAAACATCAATAATGAGAGAATCACGGATCAGCTGCCTCTCACACGCCCACTACCGAGGATCAGGCCCGCAACCCGGGCACTGAGCAGGATCAAATCCGGGACTTTTCAGTCTGCAGGCCGATGTTCTGTCCACAGAGCCACACCAGCCAGGGCAAATTCTGTTCATGTTAAAGAAGTGGTTTAAATGGGGCTGGGGAGCCTGCAGCTGAGGTGCAGCCCTTGACTGAGTCAGACCCTCAGGTGTGCTGGACACGGAGGTGCCCGACGCTGTGTGACGGACACGGGCTGACCATGTGACAGTCACCTGCGGGGCCGTGGAGTGCTGCCTCCCCGTGCACACGCCTCCCCGTGCACACGCCTCCCCTGGCACACGCCTCCCCATGCACACGCCTCCCCGTGCACACGCCTTCCCATGAACACGCCTCCCCGGGCACACGCCTCCCCGGGCACACACATTGGAGCGGTCCAGGTGGCAGCGGGTGAGGCTAAGCAGGAGCCATGGAGCCCACTTCCCCTGAGGCCACAGATGGGGTGCCGGGTTGGGTCCCAGTTCTGCTTTTGGAAGATGAAACCTCACACTTTCCCTCTGCGGCTGCTCGGTGCTCATTCCCACGCCCCACAGCACTGCCCTCCTCTCTCCGGGGCCATCTGGCAGGGGGAGGCCCGTCTCGCTGGTCTGGAGGGCCTTCCTAACAGCCAGCGGCATCCGCGCTCACACAGCCGTCATCGCTGTCCCGTTTGTCTGGAGAACCCCTCTGCCCGGAGCCCGCTTTTCACCCAGATTCCTCGCCTTTAGACTGTTAGCGGGACGGCTCTTCGTCCGCTGAGATTGCCTCACCGGGTCCATGGCCGACAGCTGTGCACCGCCACCTCCGGCCTCCTCTGCTGGCTGTCCCTTTGTGAGGGGCCCGGCCGCCAGGAGCTGGCCTGTGCTTTTTATATCTGACGTTTCTGTGTTATGTACAGAGCTAGCACCTGTCGCAGGCAGATGGAGGTCTTGAGTGCCCCTTCTCGGAAGGTCACTGAGTGTGACTTAGCGAAGCCGTGTCCATGCGCTGACGGGAACACTGGCGCACATGCAGAGCCGCACCCCCGGTCAGACCACGGCCGGCTGAGCAGCCGCGCCAGAAGGAGCGCCCTGGCCGTGTCCTCGGGGGCCTCCCGCAGAGTCGCTGGGGACCCGTCTGCTCTCTCTGCTGCTGTTGCCTACAGTCTGGGGTCAGAGGCTGGAAGTCCTGGCTGAGACCAGCATGAGAAGGGACCCTTAGCAGGCTGGCTCTGTGGTTTGGCTGCAGCCCTGGAAGCGAGGTGTCCTGTGAATTAGAATGACCTCGGCAGGGTCACTCTGGCTCAGTCCCAGGGCATTGAGGTCAAATACACAAAAGCCCGTGGGCCAGGAACTGACCTTGCCCTGAGCGGCTCCTGGGCTGTCCCCAGGGGAGGGCTGTCCCTCTGGGCTGGGCACAGGGGTGGGAGGAGGCCTGGGCAGGACACGTGTCCGTGCACGGCCGTGCTGACCGCTGTTGTGTCCCCGCAGGCTGGCTGGGCCGACTCGCTGCTCTGGAAGGCGAACCAGTGGCTGATGGTCCACATGTTCCACTGCCGCATGGTGCTCACCTACCACATGTGGTGGGTGTGCCTGCAGCACTGGGAGGGCCTGCGGGACACCCTGGACCCGCCCCACCTGGCGCTCTTCCTGCTGGGCCTGAGCCTCCTCACGCTGGTGCTCAACCCCTACTGGACCCACAAGAAGACGCAGCAGCTGCTCAGCCCCGTGGACTGGAACTTCGCGGCGCCCCCGCCGCCGCCCCGGGCCAACGGCCAGCTGCCCCTCAAGAAGGGGCTGTAGCTGGGAGCCCCGCCTCCCACACCGGGCGCTTCTCCCGAGAGACCGCTTGGCGTGGGTTAGTGTTAATTCCCAGGTCGCCACCAAGCCCTCCGGGTGATGGCCTCCCGTCCCGCCGTCCGTCACGGGTCCTTCCCGGGAGCCCAGCCTGGGGGCGCGCTGCTCACGGAAGGTCCCGGGGAGGCGGGCTGGGTTCTGGTGCAGGCCGTGGATTCCTCGCCCTCGCCTCGCTGGGCCGCACAGCCGAGGGCCGGTCTCCCGGTCTCCACCGGCAGGAAGGTGGGAGCCGCGGTGCTGCCTGCTCATCTGCTGCTGTGGCCGAGCCCAGCCCCGCCTTCGAGGCTGCCTGGCCGACAGTCTACGGGAAATGCACCCGCACCTGCTGCCCCAGCCTGTTCCCTGGGAGGAACGGCCCTGAGGGAGAAGCCTTGTCACCAGTTCCCCTGACTGTCCAGTGGGTGCAACAGCGCCCTCTGGGGCCCATGCTGCAGCGGCACCGTGTGGGAGCACCCAGCCCCGTGGTGTGTTTTACAGGAGCCTTGCAGATTTTTTATCAAGAAGTTACAGGAAACCAGCGTTATGTGTTCCCATGGAATCGCTCAGTTGATGAAATGAGGAAGATATGGAATCATCAGAACTGTCTAGATTTCAAAGACATCCCCATTTGACTAGGTTGCCAGCAGGTGCCGGAATGAGACTGGTTCCTTGGCTGTTTTCTCTGGATTTCACCACAAGGGGTGACGGCTCCCTGCGAGCTGCAGGCTCCCTGCTTCCTGGCTGCCCAGGGCCCACCCAGGACGTCCGGTCCCTGCCGTGCCTGAACCGGCACCCCCCCCCCCCCCCCAGCAGTGTCCCCCAGAGAGGCCCAGGCTTCTGTGCTTGTCACAAGTGTGCGGTCCCATCGGAGGGACCGTATGGAAGCACACTTCCCGGTGAGATCACGTGGGACCTCAGAGGGAGCCTTTGATTCCGGCGCTCTGACTTTATTGATCATGTCCCCTATTTATCGCCCCTAAGAAGTGAGTTAAATCTAACAGCACCACGAATCATGCCCCGTGACTGGCCGGTGCCCTGCGCCTCGGCCCGCGCTCCCTGCCTGTGGAAGCGGGGCTGCGGCAGCCGGACGGACGTCTAACCGTAATAAAGCAGCCGGTGTTTGCGGAGCCCGAGGGGTGACTCCTTTCTCAGCGCGCCCTCCCCCGAGTGTCTGCCACACCCGTGTGACGGGGACCTTTGTGTTCACGGCTCCGTGTTTATCGATCTCCGCCGGGACTTCCTGTCTCAGTGAAGGCGTTGGGGCGCGGAGGGCAGGCCCAGAGCAGGTGAGGGGAGGGGCCCTCTGCTCCCGGTGCTCCGTCCTGACCCCACTTCTGTCGTGAGGATCCCCACCCTCCTGGTTTGTATTGCTCCCAGGTAGTACCCCGCGATCCGGGCGCCTCCCCCGGCCCAGGTTCCGGCCGGCTGTCCCCTGGCTGAGCTGAGGGCCCAGGTGATGTCCGCCATCCCATGGCGCTGGCCCTCGGACGCTGCTCGTGTGACTCACGTCCGTGGAGAGAGCAGAGCTACACGGGGGTTCCGCTAACGACCAGAAGCGCTGGGTCTCCGAAGATCGGGGATCGGGCTGCGTCCCTCTTCGCGCCGAGGGTTCCTGTTCCTCTCATTCGCGGGGTGCACCCTGAGGCCGGCACCTCCCCGCCTGTCACGTGGTCCGGTCAGCTGCAGCCCCTGCCAGGACGGCTGTGGGTTAGACATGCTACACGTGCACGTGGCTCCTCCCCACCCCACTGCTCCCGGGTCAGTGCGGAGGTGGGGGCCCCTCACCTGGGCTCAGGAGCCAGGTGTGAGTGTGGGGGCAGGCCCTCGCAGGGTTCTGGCTGGGCGGGGTCAGGCCTCACCTGGGCGGCGTGAGGAGCCGGCCCAGGCTCAGGTGGGCAGGTGGCGGGGGCTCCGATGGAAGGGCCCCGTGGGTGGAGCATCGGGGAGCCAGGTTAGTTAGGTCCGGGGGAGACTGCCTTCTGACCAAAGCGGGGCGGGTCCCCACCCCCAGTCCTGCTCCACTGGGCCGGCAGGCTGGGGAAGCCCGCCTCCTGCACACACCGCCCTCGGAGAGGCGCAAGACTCCCCGGGCCGATTGTGTGACAGTCACACACCATCAGTCCGTACAGCCGGGCCCACAGCATCCCGGTCAGTGAGTCAGTGAGGCGCTGCCTCCGCCTGCCGCAGCCTCAGGCCCAGCCCCTGGGCCCTCCCATTCCCATTCCCACCGACATGGGTCCCTGCCCCCCTCCTCCTCTGCACCTCGGCGTCCATCCCCACCGGCCACTTAGCAGGGACTGGTGGGCATGTAGGCAGACGGGCAGAGCAAGCACGAGGGGCCGGCCAGCAGGACGAAAGCCCAGTGCCTGGCTAAGGACACTGGGGGAGGGGCTCGCCCCAGGGTGACCTCTCCTCCCCCAGCACACCCCTGTCCTGTGGTGTGCACCCCCGACCGTTCCTCCCGGAGACAGCGTCAGGGCCCAGAAAAGAGCAAAACCAGCCAGTGACCCCGTGGCTGCCGCAGGGCCAGCTGCATGGCCAGTGACCCTGCCCGGGCACCGGCCAGCCAGTCCATGGGACCCGGCCTGGAAGGACACACTGGCAGCGGCCGACTGTTCTCCTGAGACCCCCCCCCCCCCGGCCCCCCAAAGCCCTCCACCCAGACTGCCCTTGGGACCGAGGGCCAGCTCCCTCCCACCTCCACCCCCCAAGTAGGGAGGAGTTTGGAAAACTAGACAACCGGGAAACAGTCATGTCATTTGGGGTGAGGGGTCACCTGTGCCCCACCTCGGGCCTGACTGGACGCCAGCGTGCCCAGCCCCGAGACGGGGTTTTCTCAGAGGTGTGCTGGGGTGCCCCTCCCAGAGGGGGAGCTTGTGCCTGTCGCCCAGAGGAGGTTTCAGGCGAGGCTGACTCTGTCGGCTGGTGTGGCTCAGTGGTGGAGCATCAGCCTGTGAAAATAGCTCTGTCAGCCTCTTCTCGCTCCGGATGTTCTGGGAACAGGAGGTGAGTCTGGGGGTTCACTGGCAAAGATACAAAACGCATTTCCCCGCGGGGAGAAGGGGTCTGGGCAGGGAGGGCCCCAGCGGCGGCCTCGGCCTGCTGAGTTCACTTCTCTGTGCTCGGGTTTTACCTCACATAAAAAGCCAAAGCCAAGGTCGGACCCGTGCAGGGTAATCTCCGTGGGAAATTATTTTCAGAATTCTTTACGAGGCCAACAGAAAATTACTAAGGTTTGAAAAGTATTTTCTATTATTCCCGTTTCTGAACATCATGGAAGCGCACGGGGGTCCCGCAGTAAGCCAGGGGCTGTCCGTGCCTCCCCCCGCGCAGTGCAGCCTCCGGCCCGGCCCACAGTCAGGGCCGTCCGCATGTCCGCGCGGGAGGTCTGCCCAGACCCGGGGGAAGCCATGGGGACCTCGGGCTCAGAGGCTCGCGAGTCCTCAGCCGCGTGCGCTGCCCCGGCCCGGTTCCACCCCGGGGGTCAGGCGTGGCGCAGCCCAGGGACCGCCCCAGTCACCACCTCCGCTCAGCCTGCGGCTGCCCCAGAGCCCCAGGTGGCGGGGCGGGCCGAGCGTGTGCGGAAATGGCCGAGCGTGTGCGGAAATGGCCGAGCGTGTGCGGAAATGGCCGAGCGTGTGCGGAAATGGCCGAGCGTGTGCGGAAATGGCCGAGCGTGTACGGAAATGGCCGAGGGAGGGCCCGAGAGGGGCAGAGGCGGGGCCGGTGGAGGGCGGGACTGGAGGGGCCGAAGGTTAAGGAAAGCCCAGGGCCTGGGAGGGCAGAGGCGGGGCCGCTGGAGGGCGGGGCCGCTGGAGGGCGGGGCCGCTGGGGGGCGGGGCCGCTGGAGGGCGGGGCCGCGGGGAGGGCGGGGCCGCGGGGAGGGCGGGGCCGCGGGGAGGGCGGGGCCGCGGGGAGGGCGGGGCCGCGGGGAGGGCGGGGCCGCGGGGAGGGCGGGGCCGCGGGGAGGGCGGGGCCGCGGGGAGGGCGGGGCCGCGGGGAAGGCGGGCAGGGTAGGTCCCGTAGGTCCCCTGCACCCGCAGTCGCCCCTCCCGCAGCCACCCGGGGAAGCCCTTGGGGACCGGACCGCCTTGAGGACCCGGCCGCCCGGCCTGAGCGCGGCGCCCAGACCCGCTCGGTCCCGCAGCCCCGGGAGGCCGGTGTGTCCGGGACGGCGTCCCCGCTGCAGGCGGCTGGCTGCAGGCCGGATCCCCACTGCGCCGGGCGGGCGTGTGCACCCGGGCCGGGCGGGAGGGAGGCGGGCGGGGTCTGTCCAGGCCTATGCCCATCCCCTAAGCTCCTGGCCGGACCCGCCGCGCCCAGGACCTCCCAGCGGGGCCCAGCCCGGCGCCCCCACTTCACCCGTTCCCACCGGCGCCTCCCCGGCACACCCCCGAGGCCGCGGCTCCGGAGCGCGGGCAGAGCCCAGTGGGCAGTGAGCCCAGGCAGCTGGGCCGCCCCCGGGCTGGGACGGCGCTGACCTGTCCGAGCGGGTGACCACCCCAGCGAGGACCGCAGCCCGACCGCCAGGCTCCCCCGGCCCCGCCCGCCCAGAGCTGCCGGCGGGCTGACCGCGGGGCTGACCGCAGGGCTGACGCTGGACCGGGCAGCTCTCCGGGGAAGACAACAGCGACCCCAAGGCCACGGGCACCAGGCCCAGCCATTCAGAGCCAGGCCCAGGTGGACTGCATTCCGCGGCGTAAGAATGGCAGATGGGGGAACGGAGGGCTTTGGGGTCTCAGAGCCGCTGGTTTGCGGTGGGACCTCCACACCTTTGTGTTTGCCTTTTCTGGCTCAGACCCGCGGACCGGAGGGCAGACTTAGTCACAGCGCTCCCCCCCTCAGTGAAGACGGAGTGCACAGTCCTGGGAGGGGGTGTGCAGTGTTGGGGTTCAGTGACAGGGGGTGGATGTCTGCCACGCAGGAGCCAGGAGGCATGGGGCCCTGAGATGAGAGCCCACCTGTGCTCCGTGGGGTGGACGGTGGGCGAGGCCAGGGTTACATAGGGGAAGCGGGAGGGAGTCTGTCTGCTGAGAGGAAGTGGATGGTCAGGCAGGGGTGGGCCAAGGTTGGAATAACCACAAAGGACAGGCTGCCATGGGGGTTAGCGGCTCGAGGCCGGGCCTGCAGCTCCTCCGGCTCAGACTGTCCCTGCTGCTCTGCACCTGCCCCGGCTCCCACGCCCTCCTGACTGTCCTCGGAGGAGGCCGTGGCTGGACACAGGCCACAGGCCACGCTGAGCCCCCCATGCGGGGCTCCCTGTGCCTGCTCACTCAGGGTGCCGTGGGCACCTCCCACACGGGCTGGGCCCTGGAGTCACAGCACCTCCTGCTCAGTGGCAGGAGGCTCCATGCCAGAAAGTAGGGAAATTAGAGCTTGTGGCCCAGGCAGGGAAGAACCTTCTAGGTCACCCAGGAGTCCTAGTTCTCTGTCCCTTTGACATTTATTCCCAGACTTCCTTCTGCCAGAGGCTTGTTACCGGGGGAGGAGGTGGGAGGGAGGGAGGGACAGGGAGGGAGGGACATGGAAGGAGGGAGGGAGGGACATGGTGGGAGAGAGGGTGGGAGGAGGGACAGGAAAGGAGGGAGGGACAGGAAGAAAGGGAGGGAAGGAGGGAGGGAGGGGCGTCCTGCGGTTCAGCCCTGGTGAGACAGACAGCCCTCTGGTCGCCCTCCATCCTCCGCGCTTAGCCTGCTGGGCCCCAGAGGAGCCCACACCCCATCATTCAGCTCAAGGCCTTGCCCTCCTGCTCCCTGCCTGGGGCCTGGTCTCCGGGTCGGGCTGCCTTCCTCTGAGAGCCCCCTCCTCCGCCCACGGAGAGGGAGCCGAGGGGAAAACAGGTCCATTGTTGTCCGGTGCCCGGCACAAAGGGACGCTGTGCGGGCTGGGAATCCCCTGCCCCCACTGGGCTGGGCGGCTGCCCATCTGACCGCTGGGTGCGGGCTGCCCAGCCAGGCCTCCTCTCCTCTTATCTCTCCCTTCCCTCCCCTCGCCCTGTGGCCTGCTCTCCCGCCTTTGTTATCGGGACAGGAATGTTCCCGTGAGCACAGCAGCCCCTGTGCTAGGACCAGGGATGACCCTGCCCTGCCCCTGCTCCCCGGTGACCCTCTCCCCATCGGCCTCTGGTTCAGGACCTGGGCTGAGGGTGCCTGCACAGACACCGCGGTCACCAGCCCTGGGGAGAGATGGGGTGCTGGGGTTTCCCAGGAGCCCCCGTCATGGCGGGGACCATGGCCCAGGTAGTGAAGGGGGCAGGCTGACCGGGTGACGGGGTCAGCCTGCCCCCTTCACTACCTGCCTCCCCGTTCCCTGTCTTCCACCTTCCCCTTCTGCAGGTGCTCCCCTTGGTGGCTGAGTCTGCACTGAGTGCTCTCTCTGCTGTCACCTGGTTCCGGTGACGAGGCTGTGGCTGTGGCCTTCAGCCAGGGGCATAGAGAAATGCAGCCCCTAGGAGACCTGGAGACTCATTGCTTATAATTATAACGATACTTTGTTTCCTTTTTCTATTTACTTATTTTAATATAGATTTTTTGGTATTGATTTCAGAGAGGAAGGGAAAGGGAGAGGTAGAAACACCTATATATGTATATATAAAAGGCTAATATGCAAAGTGTCCCTGTAGGCGTCCGTCCCAGAGACTGGGAGTTCAATTGCTTGCTATGATGTGTGCTGACCACCAGGGGGTGATGCAGAACGAAGGAAGGTCCCAGCCAGCAGCTGGAAGGCCCTGATGGGCGCCAGGCCTAGGCACCCTCCCTGTTTATGAATTTCATGCACTGGGCCTCTGGTCCATGATGAGAGAGAATCACTCACCAGCTGCCTCCTGCAGGCCCCACACCGGGGATCCAGCCCACAACCTGGGCCCGTGCCCTGACCAGGAATCAAACCCTGACCTCCTGGCTCATAGTGGGTGCTCAACACAGCCACACTGGCCGGTTCAGTTTCCATTTTAATCGTAAACTAATAAAGGCTCTGGGCACAGACCAGCCGCCTCCTGAGCTCCTCCCGGACCGCTGCCCCGGCCGCACCTGCTCAGGGTCCCACACCCACGGGGCGGCACTAGGTTTGCAGGCCCCCGTGGCCTGCGCCCTGCGGGAGGCAGAGGGGGCAGCCAGCGGGAAGGGGAGCATGCCTCCACCACCTCCCAGCAGCTCTTCCCGGCCAGGGAATGCGGCCACTGCTCCCGGGAAGTCCCGGGAACTAGCTTGCGGCTCCGGAGCCTGAGCAACCCCTGGGGATTGTGTGAACCTGCACTCCCCAGCCCGGGCTTGGCGGTCTGACCTCCCCGGAGCCGGCCGCCAGGGCCAGGGGGCAGGGGCAGGGGCAGGGGCAGGGGCAGGGGCAGGGCGGGTCTGGGCGGGAGGGGCGGTGCTCCGGGGTCTGCTCCGGGGTCTCCCGCGCCCCCCGCCCCCGCGTGCGCCGCCGGGCGGGGCGCGGGCTCCGGGCCGCGGGCGGGGCGCGGGGGCCACGTGGCCGCTCAGGAATGCGCTGGCGCGGGGGCGGGGCGCGGACGGAGAACGGGCAGGCACCTCAGCCAATAGGCTCCTGGCGCCGCCCGGGCCGGCCAATCAGGACGCGGGGGCGGGGCTGCCTCCCCGTGGGCGGGGCCGGAGCGCATCCCGGGCGGCGGGCGGAGGGGCGCCGGAGGGACGGCGGGTCCGGCGGGTGAGTGCGGCCCGGGGCGGGTTCCCTGTTTGGGGCCGCGGGCTGGGCGCCCCCGGCGTGGGCGGGGTGCCCGCTGCCCGCCGCAGGCCGCGCGGTTAACGGCCGCGGGCCGCCCCCGACTCCAGCCGGCGGCCCCGACGGCGGGCGGCGTGCGGGGAGCGGTCCCCCGGCGCGGACCCCGTTTCCGGGGAGCCCTCCTCCCGGGGCGCGGTGGGGGGCGGGGGGCCCCGGGCGGGGCGGGGCGTGGTGGGGGGCGGGGGGCCCCGGGCGGGGCGGGGCGTGGGGTGTGGGGGTACGGGGGTAAACCCGGGGGCCGCGGGGAGCTGCGCGGGATGCGCGGAGGCGTTCGGGGCGCAGCCCTCGGGGTGTCCGCGGAGGCTGAGTCCGTGTCCGCGGAGGTGAGCGTCCCACCGGGAACGGCCCTGCGGCCCCGCTGCCCCGCTGCCCCGCCGCCCCGCCGGGTCCCAGGCCGGTGCCTGCCCACCTGCCGCCCCTCCCTCCAGGGCTGCGACCGGGGCGGGGCCGGCGGAGCGGAGCCCTGGCTTCTCCTAGGAGGTGGGGTCGGGGGCAGCGCAGCTGGAGCACAGCGGGGTGCACAGCGGGGTGCACAGCGGGGTGCACAGGGGGGCGAGTGCACAGGGGGGCGGGGTGCACAGCGGGGTGCACGGTCCTGCGGGAGCAGAAGGCACTCCCTGGTCAGGCAAAGGGCGGTCAGGCAAAGGGCGTCCTGCTTCCCTGCGCTGGGCCCACAGCCTGCGGTCCTGCGGGAGCCACTCCCTGTCCCTCCAGGAAGGCCGCTGACCACACAGCGCTTAAGTGCACGGCCTGGAAGATAACTCTTTTTTCTGAAAATATATTTTATTGATTTTTTAGTGAGGAAGGAAGAGAGTTAGAAACATCGATGAGAGAGAACATCGATCAGCTGTCTCCTGCACACCCCCCACTGGGGACGTGCACGCAAGGCACACGCCCTTGACCGGGATCGAACCCGGGACCCTTCACTGACACTCTGTCCACTGAGCCACACCGGCAGGGCTGGGGGATGATTCTTATTGGGAAAGACCATTGAGAGGAACCCGTGTATGCTTCCCAGTGTGATGGCCGCCGAGCTCTGACTGTGGCTGGCCGGGGCCTGGGACGTGGTGAGTGGCCGTCCCTGATCAGTACAGACGCCCGATTGTGGTCAGCAGGAAGGTGGTGGTGGCAGGTGCTGCTCATAAGCAATCGGGGCGGGTAGTCAGGCTTTTACCTGATAAGAGGGAAGGCTGACTTTCTGGTTTGCCCAACCTCACGCGCTGCTATTTTGAGAGGCAGTTCCCTCAGGAGGTATTTCTGCGGAGAGGTTAGAGGGGACTCTGTGGGCATTGTGGGCAGAGGCGCCCTGTGGGGCTGGGGACTGCTGCCCTCCCGTCCGGGCATCTCAGACCCCCGCTTACGCCCAGCATGTGTGTGAACGTGCTTCGCACGGCTAGAGCACAGGGAGGTGCAGTGATTCCGGCTCACTCCTCTGTCAGTGGCAGTTTGGAAAACATGCTACAGGCACCGGGAGCCTGCTGGGTGCGAGGTTGTTCTATTGCACAGGTGGCGTGGGGCTGCCGCCAAAATATTCACAATGCTTCTTTAGGTGTGAAGCATTCCTCTTCCATGAACCGCTTCTGATACTAGACATGGCTTTTTATTTTTTTAAAGTATATTTTATTGATTTTTTTCAGAGAGGAAGGGAGAGGGATAGGGAGTTAGAAACATCGATGAGAGAGAAACATCCATCCGCTGCCTCCTACACACCCCCTGCTAGGGATGTGCCCTCAACCGTGGTACATGCCCCCGACTGGAATGGAACCCAAGACCTTTCAGTCCCCAGGCCGACACTCTATCTGCTGAGCCACACCGGTTATGGCTAGATGCGGCTTTTTAAAGGAAAATACAGCATCCCCGCTGCCCACGCTGTGCAGTGGCGGTGGTGAGAGGGGGCGTGGGAAGGCCGAGCTTTCAGTCCCGCTCAGAGCGACTCCCTGGGAGCTGAGCCCGTGCTCCCTCCCAGGGCTGCCACCCGGGGGCACAGCCGCAGCCTCAGCCCTCGGCTCAGTGAGTCTCCTGGGAATTCCTGCACAAAGCAGGACTGGCACCCTGCCCCCCAGCCCCATGCAGCGAGGCCTCCCGCCTCCTGGGCACAGGCTGTGCTTTTAAAAAGTTTATTTAAATACATTTTTATGGATGTCAGAGAGGAAGGGGGCGGGAGAGAGACAGCAACATCCATGAGAGAGAATCATGGACTGGCTGCCTCCTGTACGCCCCCCACTGGGGATGGAGCCCACAACCCGGGCATGTGCGCTGGCCGGGTATTGAACGGTGACCTGGTTCATAGGTCGGTGCCCAACCACGAGCCACGCCAGCCAGGCAGGCTGTGCTTCTGAGGGCGTGAGGCTGGCTGTCTGGCCGTGGGGACGGGGCCCTCACAGGTGGACCGTGGAAGCCCCTTCACGTCCTGCGTGGTTTAGGGTTCCGGTTCAGGGTTCGGGTACTGGAGAAGGCTGCACACAAATGGAAAGAGACTTGTGAAAAGCATTAATTTGGGAGATGGGGGCCAGGCGGTAGTCCAACCTTAGTGGGATGGGAGGACTACTCCTCGCTCTGGCTTTTCCATCCCCATATTAAGATTAAAGTGATAGGATACACCCATTTCCCCTGGGCAGGAAACTTCAAAGCCAGTCAGTGAATTTAGGACTAACTGGTGGGGGCTGCTTCAACTACCAATGTCTAGTAGTGATTAGCTCTGACCCTTCAGAGCAACTATGGTGGACCAGCCCTGCGGACTCCCTGTCCACAGCTCTCTGCTATTAAAACAGTCATCAGCTTCCGGCAGTGGTCATCATTATTATTTTATTAATTTGTTTTTTATTTTTTATAAAACTTTATTGTTCATATTATTACATATGTTCCTCATTCCCCCCCCCCCCCCATTGCTCCCCTCCACCAGGTTTCCACCCCACCCTCTGCCCTTTCCCCACCCCCCATTGTCCTCATCCCTAGGTGCACAGTTTATGTTCAGTCTATTCCCACACCCCCCACTCCCCTTTTCCCCGAGAATCGTCAGTTCACTCCCCTTCCATACCTCTGATTCTATTATATTCACCAGTTAATATTGTTCATCAGATTTTTTAATTCCTTTGGTTTTTAGATTCCCTTGTTGATAGTTACATATTTGTTGTTCATGATTTTTATCTTTATCTTCTTCCTCTTCCTAAATAACCCCCTTCAGCAATTCATAAAATTCTGGTTTGGCCATGATGAACTCCTTTAGTTTTTTTTTTTTTTTTGAAGCTCTTTATCTGGCCTTCAGTTCTGAGTGATAGCTTGCTGGGTAGAATATTTTTGGCTGTAGGTTCTTGCTATTCATCACCTTGAATATTTCTTTTTTTTTTTTTTTTTAAATATATTTTTTATTGATTTTGTACAGAGAGGAAGGGAGAGAGATAGAAAGTTAGAAACATCGATGAGAGAGAGTCATCATCGATCAGCTGCCTCTTGCACACCCCCTACCGGGGATATGCCCGCAACCAAGGTACATGCCCTTGACCGGAATCGAACCCGGGTCCCTTCAGTCCCCAAGCCGACGCTCTATCCATTGAGCCAACCCGGTCTCGGCAACCTTGAATATTTCTTGCCATTTCCGTCTGGCCTGCATGGTTTCTGTTGAGAAATCAGCTGACAATTGTATGGGTGCTCCTTTATAGGTAACTACCTGCTTTGCTCTTGCTGCTTTTAATATTCTCTCTTTGTCTTTTGCTCTTGGAATTTTAATTATTATGTGTCTTGGTGTGGTCCTCTTTGGATTCCTTTTGTTTGGGGTTCTGTGTGCTTCCTGGACTTGTAAGTCTTAATTCTTTCACCAGGTGGGGGAAGTTTTCTGTCACTATTTCTTCCAGTATGTTTTCATTATCTTGCTCTCTCTCTTCTTCTGGGACCCCCCATAATTCTGATGTTGGTTCGCTTGAAGTTGTCCCAGAGATTTCTTACATTATCTTCAACTTTCTGGATTCTCTTGTCTTCTTGCTTCTGCGGAGGAGTGTCTTCTGGTTCTTTAAGTTCCAAATATTTGACTTGATTCTTGCGATCTTCCATTCTGTTCTTGGGACTCTGTATAATATTATTTCAGACAATGTATTCTTTATTTCTAGTTGATCCCTTATTATTTCTACTTGATTCCTTATTATTTCTAGTTGATCCCTTTTCATATCTTCATATGTCTTGTTTATTTTATCAGCCTTTTTTAGGAAAGTATTGAAAAACCTTATAAGTGTGGTTTTGAACTCTATATCCAGTCGCTTTTTGTCCTTCATTTCTTTTGTTTGTGATCTCTTTCCTTGTCTTGGCATTTTCACAGCTTCCCTGAGTTGGTGGCCTTAAAAGTCTCTGTGTTCAGCTTGGATGGGGCAGAGTTTCAGGGTGGAGCCTACAGCCTTGGCATCCAGTCAGCCCCGCCCTATGAGGCTCCTGAGTCTCAGTGTTCCTCAGTGTCCTTCGGTACTCGCTGCAAGCACCTCTGAGAGAAATGTGCCCTTGAGTTTCGCCTTCTACCAAACAGTCTAGGTTCTCCCCCAATGAGCCCGGAACTGGGGTTCAGTTCAGTTGGAAGTGGAGTTCTGGAGCTTTTGTCTCCCTCCTGCTAGGGCAATCCAGCAGCACAGTCAACTGTCCGTTCTCTGCATGCAATGTGTGCGCCTCCGGGACTTCCTTTCACTGCTCCCCTGAGCTTCCGCCTTACAGCCCAGACTCCCTCCGTATGAGCCTGGGTCCCCAGGGTCTGGCCTAGAACTGGGGTTCAGTGCAGTCGGAACTGGGGCTCAGCACAGTCCAGAGTTTTTATCTCCTTCCCTCCAGGGAACACCGTCCAGGCACTCAGCCGCCCCTCCTCTCCGGCTCCGTCCTCTCCCTGTGCGTTCCGTGTCTCCGTACCTTGGGCTTTTACAGCTCCTCTGCTTTTCCTTCTGGTTTGCTCTTTCCTTCTCGTTGTAGAATTTCCAGTCAGTCGACTTTCCTGCAGTTCTGGGTAATGTCCATTTTGTATTTTAGTTGTATTTTATTGAAATTGTTGTGTGAGGCTGCCGTTAGGTGTTACCTGTGCCGCCATCTTGGTTTCTCCTCCATCATTATTATTTTAAAGAACGCAGTGTGGACGGTCAGACCCCAGAGCCAGGCGTAGGCGTGAGTTTTGCACTCTGATCCCTCGCTGGATGGACAGGAGCCGGCTGGACAGGAGCGGCCGGACGGGGGGCCGGACGGAAGTGCCAGTGCCGCTGCTGTCCCAGCTTGTGGACTGCCTTCGGTCGCGGATGGGGAAGCAGTGTGGCTGTAGCCGGTCTGGGCTCAGGACCCCGAGGCCGCAGCTGGAAGGGGTGTTTACCTCACATGGGACTCGAGCCCATTGGAGAGGACCCTTCCGGCTGCTTGGACGGCTCTGTCTCTGGGGGCGCTTGGCAGGACCCTAATCCGCCATCCTCTTCCGCCCGGTGTCCCAGTGGCCTGAGCACGTAGGACACCCCCCCACCCCCTCCCGATCGGAGCCCTGGGGTCAGTGAGGCCTGTGAGCTGTCAGGACCTGAGTCCCGGGGTCAGTGAGGCCTGTGAGCTGTTGGGATCGGAGCCCCAGGAGTCAGTGAGGCCTGTGAGCTGTCAGGACCTGAGCCCCGGGGTTCAGTGAGGCCTGTGAGCTGTCAGGACCTCAGTCCCGGGTCAGTGAGGCCTGTGAGCTGTCAGGACCTCAGTCCTGGGGGTCAGTGAGGCCTGTGAGCTGTCAGGACCTGAGCCCCGGGGGTCAGTGAGGCCTGTGACCTGTCAGGACCTCAGTCCTGGGGGTCAGTGAGGCCTGTGAGCTGTCACCACCTCAGTCCTGGGGGTCAGTGAGGCCTGTGAGCTGTCAGGATCTCAGTCCTGGGTCAGTGAGGCCTGTGAGCTGTCAGGACCTCAGTCCCGGGTCAGTGAGGCCGGTGAGCTGTCAGGACCTGAGCCCTGGGGGTCAGTGAGGCCTGTGAGCTGTCAGGACCTCAGTCCCGGGTCAGTGAGGCCGGTGAGCTGTCAGGACCTCAGTCCTGGGTCAGTGAGGCCTGTGAGCTGTCAGGACCTCAGTCCTGGGGGTCAGTGAGGCCTGTGAGCTGTCAGGACCTCAGTCCTGGGGGTCAGTGAGGCCTGTGAGCTGTCAGGACCTGAGCCCCGGGGGTCAGTGAGGCCTGTGAGCTGTCAGGACCTCAGTCCCGGGTCAGTGAGGCCTGTGAGCTGTCAGGACCTCAGTCCTGGGGGTCAGTGAGGCCGGTGAGGTGTCAGGACCTGAGCCCTGGGGGTCAGTGAGGCCTGTGACCTGTCAGGACCTGAGCCCCGGGGGTCAGTGAGGCCTGTGAGCTGTCACCACCTCAGTCCTGGGGGTCAGTGAGGCCTGTGAGCTGTCACCACCTCAGTCCTGGGTCAGTGAGGCCTGTGAGCTGTCAGGACCTCAGTCCCGGGTCAGTGAGGCCTGTGAGCTGTCAGGACCTCAGTCCCGGGTCAGTGAGGCCGGTGAGCTGTCAGGACCTGAGCCTCAGAGTCAGGATTGGAGCGTCGGGAAGGTCACCCTGCGGTGTGGGCCTCCGGAGCAGACTGCTGGAGCCAGGCAGGTGCCGTCCAGTCACAGGAGCTGCTGTCTCCATGGGGCCGCAAGGGACCGCCTTCTGATGGCACCGCTGCCACGCCCTGCTCAGACTCCATTCTCCTGGGGCTGTGGGGCAGAAAGAGAAACAGGCCGCCTGCAGAGACCGCGTTATGGGAGTGGCCAGCCTCAGTCTCAGTCTTGGGCAGCCGTTCTTCACTCAGAACCCCCAGTGGCCCTGGCTGGTGTGGTTTAGTGGATAGAGCATCAGCCTGTGGACTGAAGGGTCCGGGGTTCAATTCCGGTCAAGAGCACATGCTTGGGTCCCAGTAGGGGGCATGCAAGAGACAACTGATCCATGGTTCTCTGTCATCATTGATGCCTCTCTCTCTCCTCTTCTCCCTCTCCCTCACCCTCTCCCTCTTCTTCTCCCTCTCCTTCTCCCTCTCCCTCCTCCTTTCTTGCTGAAATCAATCCTATATAATAAAAGTCTAATATGCTAAGTGCCTGGTTGTCCTGTAGTCTGTTCAACAAATCAAAATGACATATGCTAATGATATGCTAAGGCCACTTGCTATGATGTGTACTGACCACCAGGGAGCAGACGCTCCAACTGTTAGGTTAGCTTGCTGCTGGGGTCTGGCCGATCGGGACTGAGCAAAACTGGCCAGACATGCCCTGGAGCCCTCCCTCCGCCCCTCCCCAGCTGGCCCACCTCCCATGTCCCGCCTAAGCCCCGATCGTGCACTGGTCAGGTTCCTCGGCCTGGCCTGCGCCCTCTCGCAATCCGGGACCCCTCCGGGGATGTTGGACAGCCAGTTTGGGCTCCATCCTACAGGCCAGGCCGAGGGACCCCACTGATGCATGAATTCGTGCACCGGGCCTCTAGTGAAAATATATTAAACAGAACCCCACAGTGCTGTCTGGAGGAGGAGGAAGACACACGTGCACCCGTGTGTCCCTTCTCCCCTTGGCCTGTGTCTGGAGGAGGAGGGGCTCCGGGGGTGACCCAGGGCGGTGGGAGCCCTGGGGGTGACCTGGGCCGGGGGTGACCTGGGCCGGTGGGGAGCCCGGGGGTGACCCGGGGCGGTGGGGAGCCCGGGGGTGACTGGGGCGGTGGGGAGCCCGGGGGTGACCCGGGGGTGACCTGGGCCGGTGGGGAGCCTGGGGGTGACCGGGGCGGTGGGGAGCCCGGGGGTGACCCGGGGGTGACCTGGGCCGGTGGGGAGCCCGGGGGTGACCTGGGCCGGTGGGGAGCCCGGGGGTGACCGGGGCGGTGGGGAGCCCGGGCCGGGGGGGAGCCCGGGGGTGCCCCGGGGCGGTGGGGAGCCCGGGTGTGCCCCGGGGCGGTGGGGAGCCCGGGGGTGCCCCGGGGCGGTGGGGAGCCCTGGCTGCCGCCGGGCGGGGTGGGGATGGGACCCTGGATTCCTCCGGGTGTTTCCGGAGGCTCTGTCCTGGGGGCTGTGACTTACCCCGAGTCCCCCCTGGTGCTGGCGCTGGTGCTGGGCGCCTGTGGGCTACGGCAGTTCGCACCCGCCCTGACAGCCTCTCTCCTCCCACAGGGCTGCCCAGGGCCAGGCCGGGCTCCGGAGCCGCACAGCATGGACCCCCCGGAGCCGGAGCGGGAGCCGGAGCCGCCTGCCCCGGCTGCCACTGCGGAAGGTAAGGCTGCGCCTCCTGAGACTGCGTTCTCGCTGCGGGGCCATCGCTGGGGGTCCTCCTGGCGGGCGTCCGGCCGTCAGGGCTGCTGGGCCGGGTCTGACTGTGGCTGTTGAACTGGGAAGGAGGGGGACCGGTGCTGCTCCCACCGCCGCCCTCGCAAACAGGGACGGCCACCCCCACCCCGAGCGTGCCCTCTGCGCCTCACCAGGGGGCCTTCCCCAAACCACAGGTCGGGGGGCGGGACCCCAGGACACCGAGCTCTGAGCCCTGGGGGGAGGAGGGACTGGACGGGCGGTGAACGGCATTCACAGCTGCCCCAGCTGTTCCTGCCCTGGGGGGGTACCCGGGAGGTGTCACACTGAGGGTTCACTTCTGGCTCCGGTTCTGTGTGTGGGGGGGTCTGTGTGTCCGTGCTGGTGGGGCAGCCACAGGGACCTCCACAGGGAGCTCAGACCTGGGAGGACAGCTGGGGGGGGTGTGAGCCAGCCCGGGGGCGAGGGCGTTAGGGGGTGGCCGTGAGGGCCTGGCCTTGGTCTGGGGACCTCCCCTTCAGCACAGGCTGTGCCGGTGCCCCCGCAGCGGCCGCCACCCGGTGCCACCCGCGGCGGCAGGAGCGGAGGACTGAGCAGCCCCTGTTGGAGGCCCGGGCTGCTCCTCCTACAACACTCCTTTGTTTAAACAATGGAAGAGTGAGCAACAAAATAGCCTTCCCCAGACAGGAGAAACAGTGCATCTTAGATGAAACTTTCCTGTAGAATGAACTCTGCTCTTAGGCCTCTGGGCGAAGTGGATGACTTTTGTCTCTTCTCTCCCTGGTCCTCTGGGTGCTGGGCTGGGTGCTGGGCTGGGGGCTGGGCTGGGTGCTGGGCTGGGGCTGGGCTGGGGGCTGGGCTGGGGGCTGGCCTGGGTGCTGGCCTGGGTGCTGGGTGCTGGGTGCTGGGCTGGGTGCTGGGCTGGGGGCTGGGCTGGGTGCTGGCCTGGGTGCTGGGCTGGGGGCTGAGCTGGGGGCTGGCCTGGGGGCTGGGCTGGGGGCTGGGCTGGGGGCTGGGCTGGGTGCTGGGGGCTGGCCAGGGGCTGGGCTGGGGGCTGGGCTGGGGGCTGGGCTGGGTGCTGGCCTGGGGACTGGCCTGGGGGCTGGCCTGGGTGCTGGCCTGGGTGCTGGGGGCTGGCTAGGGGCTGGGCTGGGGGCTGGGCTGGGGGCTGGGCTGGGGGCTGGCCTGGGTGCTGGGCTGGGTTCTGGCCTGGGGGCTGGCCTGGGGGCTGGGGGCTGGCCAGGGGCTGGGCTGGGGGCTGGGCTGTGGCTGGTCTGGGGGCTGGGCTGGGTGCTGGGCTGGGGGCTGGCTTGGGGGCTGGCCTGGGTGCTGGGGACTGGGCTGGGGGCTGGGCTGGGGCTGGGCTGGGGGCTGGGCTGGGGGCTGGCCTGGGTGCTGGGCTGGGTTCTGGCCTGGGGGCTGGCCTGGGGGCTTGGCTGGCCTGGGGGCTGGGCTGGGGCTGGGCTGGGGGCTGACCTGGGTGGGCAGTAAGGCTGTGAGTGGGCGGAGCTGCCTGGAGGGCTGTGGGCACAGGGGGTGGCCTGTAGGTACAGGGAGTGACCTGTCCCCGCGGAGCCCTGCTGTGGGTGCTCGCTGGGGGCCAGGCCTGTGTCACAGGCCAGAGGGGACACTGGAGCGTTGGCTGCGGATCTGGCTGGCTCAGGCACGGGGCAGCTGGGCGGGCTCTGGCAGACGGATGCCCGCGCCCTGCGCCCCCTCCCTGGCTTTGGGCTGCTCAGATCCCTAACGGACTAGCACCCCTGGGATCGGAAACGTGGCATTTTCACTGTGTGACTCACCTTGGGAAGCAGAAACCTCTGCTATGCCACGGGGGCCGGCCGGTGTGGCTCAGTGGGTTGAGCGTCGCCCCTCACCAAGAGGTCACCGTTCGGTTGCCAGTCGGGGTGCATGAGGTCCCCGCGAGCGAGCGAGGCACGGCTGGGCCTGGGGTCCCCCCGCCAGGACAGGGATGCGGACGGCAGTGTGCTCTGGGGCAGCTGTATGAGCTTCGTGCTCCCGAGGTGGACTGGGGGTGCACCGGCCGCCCCCCACAGCTCCCGCCGTCCTCCGTGGGCAGGGACAGCGTCCGGCGTCCAGGCCCCGGCCCCTCGGAGGCGCTGCGTGAGGCACGTGGTTTAAAGGAACTTAAACCTTCGGGGGAATTTCTAATCACTTTTAATTTCTTTTCTGATTGGAATTCTACTTGGAGTTCTATTGGGGGGGAAATTAATGTTTGTGGTGGGAAAATATTTGTAACCACTCATCTGATCCTCCTTTATTCACTCACTCATTCAGGCACTTGTTCACTCTCTCGCTAATTCATTCACTCATTTATTCACTCATTCATTCTTCATTCACGCACTCACTCACATATTCACTCACTTATTCACACATTCACTCAGTCATTCACTCACTCACTCACTCATTCACTCACTCACTCATTCGCTCACTCACTCACTCAGTCATTCACTCACTCATTCACTCAGTCACTCATTCGCTCAGTCATTCACTCACTCACTCACTCATTCACTCACTCACTCATTCGCTCACTCACTCACTCAGTCACTCACTCACTCAGTCATTCACTCACTCAGTAACTCACTCACTCATTCACTCACTCACTCATTCGCTCGCTCACTCACTCACTCAGTCATTCACTCACTCACTCACTCACTCACTCTTTGCACAAGTGCCTGGGGAGTGAGCAGCCGGCAGTCCAGTCTCACCGGGAGCTGCGTGGCCAACAGGGCAGCTGTCCTCAGGTGTGACCCACAGAGGCGCTGCCTCCTGTTTGGGGGGGGTGAGCATCCCCACGTAGACCTGAGGACACGGGCACGCACTATCCCCTTCATGGGGGTCAGGGGGGTGCGTTTTAGGGCCAGAAGCTCACTCTTCCCTTCCTCCCTTCACAAGCGTTTAGGAGCCGGTTTTGGGCCTCACCTTTCGAAGCTCCGTCTGTCTAAGAAAGTTTCCTAGGAACCACTTGGGGGTGTGACTGTGCTGGTACATGAGCGCGAAGGGACACATTAAAAACGCGTTCTCGTAGCTTGTCAGGAGCGCCCTCCGCGGTGCCGAGCACCTTCACCGCAGCTTTGTCGCCCTTAGCGGCTCATTGCAGGTGTCCTAGCCCTGTGGTCGGCAAACTCGTTCGTCCATGGAGCCAAGTACCAACAGCACAACGATTGAAATTTCTTTGGAGAGCCACATTTAAAAAAACATATGTTTTATTGATTTTTTTACAGAGAGGAAGGGGGAGAGAGAGCTAGAAACATCGATGAGAGAAATACATTGACCAGCTGCCTCTTGCACACCCCCTACTAGGGATGTGCCCGCAACCAAAGACATGCCCTTGACCGGAATCGAACCTGGGACCTTTTGGTCGGCAGGCCGACGCTCTGTCCACTGAACCACACCGGTTTCGGCAAGAGCCACATTTTTTAAACAACTTCTCACGCCACTTCTTCAAAATAGATTCCCCCAGGCCGTGGTGTTTTGTGGAAGAGCCACACTCAAGGGGCCAAAGAGCCGCGTGTGGCTCGTGAGCCGCAGTTTGACGACCGCGGTCCCCGTCGGAAAGACCGCCTTTCATCGTAAGACCTCCGGTTCCTCAAACCTGTCCCGGCACTCACGTCTCCTAACGACTCCAGCTGTTTCCCGTGGACCGTGCCGGCCACGGCCACGGCCACGGCCACGGCCACGGGGAGGGACGCGCACGGAAGGCTGGGGGGGCGGCCGTGGGAGGCCACGCCTCTCAGACTGGCGTGGCCACACCCTCCTGGGCCTTTCGGATCCCGTCCTGTGTGTGTCATCGTCGTAAAGCACGGGAAAGCGGGAACGTGTTCTCGAATGTCCTGTGCGCCTCGGACCGGAGGGGTGGGCCGCCCTGGGTCCCGCGTCCCCTCCCCGTGGCAGGGCGGGCGGACTCTGCCCCCTTCCCCGGCGACCTCACTCCTCCGCCGGGGAAGGAAGTGTCTGCTTCCTCCCCACCCGCCAGGAGTGCCCCGCTTCCTCCTAACGGGCAGCCTCCGGACCGGCTGCTCTTGTTGCTGCTGTTTGTGTTCTGTTTATTTTTATTGATGTCAGAGAGGAAGGAGAGGGAGGGAGAAACATCCCTGATGAGAGAGAATCACTGGTCAGCTGCCTCCTGCACGCCCCACCCTGGCGATGGAGCCCGCCACCCGGGCCTGTGCCCTGACCCGGGATCCAACCGGGACCTCCTGGTTCCTCCGTCGATGCTCAGCCGCGGAGCCACTCGCCTGGGCTGGAAGCTTGTACCTTTGGATGCCCTCACCCATTTCTTTTTAAAGAAAATACTTATACATTAAAAAAAAGTATATATATTTTATCATTTTTTAAAATATATATTTTTTATTGATTTTTTTTACAGAGAGGAAGGGAGAGGGATAGAGAGTTAGAAACATCGATGAGAGAGAAACATGGATCAGCTGCCTCTTGCACACCCTCTACTGGGGATGTGCCCACAACCAAGGTACATGCCCTTGACCGGAATCGAACCTGGGACCTTTCAGGCCGCAGGCCAATGCTCTATCCACTGAGCCAAACCGGTTTTGGCAGTACTTATACATTTAACCTGAAGTGTTTTTACATGTAACACACAGAACACCGGTCACCATAGAGGCGTGCAGTGCCACTGTGCCCCCTTTCAGCTCCAGGCATGCATTTCCTCTGAAGTGTTTTTACATGTAACACACAGAACACCGGTCACCATAGAGGCGTGCAGTGCCCCCTTTCAGCTCCAGGCATGCATTTCCTCTGAAGTGTTTTTACATGTAACACACAGAACACCGGTCACCATAGAGGCGTGCAATGCCACTGTGCCCCCTTTCAGCTCCAGGCATGCATTTCCTCTGAAGTGTTTTTACATGTAACACACAGAACACCGGTCACCATAGAGGCGTGCAGTGCCCCCTTTCAGCTCCAGGCATGCATTTCCCACAGGTTTTTAAAGAGCCCGTTCTGTGATCGGGATTGCGGCCACATAGTTCGTGGAACCTGTGGTTTGTGCTATAAAAGCTGGCACATCCGCAGGCCTTTGTCCCCCCGCCCCCCGGCCCCACCGCCCCCCGGCCTCCTGGAAGAGCAGCCTGGACAGAGCTGCCGGGGTGACGAAGCTCTTGGCCAGGTTCACCCGAGGGTCCTTGTGTCCCAGGGACGGGAACCAGGGAGGTAAACTGAGGAAAGTGCCCTTCCTCCTCGGCCCCTGAGAGGACGTCAGAGCCCCGACCCCCAAGCCGCCCGAAGGTCCCCCGCCCAGGGCGGCCGGCACCTCGAACCCAGCCGTCTCTGTCCGGCTGGAAGGGGTTCTGCTGGAAACACCTGTGAACACGTCGTCTCTGTCAAACTGCAGGAAACGAAGTGGAACACGACACGAACAATAACGAGGAGGAGGAGGAGGAGGAGGGAGAGCAGTTCGACTTTGACAGCGGAGATGAGGCTCCGGAAGCGGACAGAGGGGCCCCGGGCGCCCCCGAGGCCGGGCCCGTGGCAGCCGCCGCCCCCACCAGCTCCGGTGAGTGCCCGGGGCCCCGGACCAGGCCGCCTGCCCCCTCCTCCGGGGCAGGAAGGCCGCTGGGCCGGGCCTGGAGCGAGGTGTGCCGTCTGGGCTGTGGCTGGGCACTGGAACTCGCCACTTGCAGTCTGCCAGCCTCGGCGACGCCCGCTCCTCGAGGGAGGTCAGTGTTCCTGGCGTCCATGAGCCAGCCCCCCAGGTGCTGCTGCCCGCGGAGGGCGGTCCGGCTGCTGGGGGACCCGAGGGGGACTCTGCCTGTTGGCACTGAGGGGCCCGGTCCGTCTGTGCCTGGTCCCAGCCTGTGCTTCCCGGTCTGTAACAGCCTCTCAGCGGCCACGGCCTCCTGCCCAGCGCGCACCTCCGTCCGTCCGCCCAGAGGGCCTCCAGAGCCTGGCACTAGGAGCGGGCGGGGGGACACTGCTGCCCGGCGCGGGCCTGATGCCGGGTTTGCCTCCAGGCGGGGAAGGCGGGACGGGCACCGACGTGGCCGCCCCTGTGGAGCCAGCGAAGCCTGGGGCCCCAGCGAGAGTGAACCCCTACTCCGTCATCGACATCACGCCCTTCCAGGAAGAGCAGCCTGCGCCCCCGGAGCCCGAGGCCGAGGAGGAGGGCGTGAGCCTGCCCGTGCCCAGCGGGTACTCCGTGCCTGTGCCCTGCGGCTACGCCGTGCCCTCCAGCCTGCCCGCGCTCCTGCCCGCCTACTCCAGCCCCGTCATCGTGCGCCCCGCGTCCCCGGACGAGGAAGGTGGGCCCTTCCCCTGCCCCTGTCCCCGTGCGAGACGGACTTCGTGCGCACACGCGTGTATGCATGTGTGTGCGCGTGTGCAAGTCCGGAGGTGTGGCTGTCAGTGAGTTTGTGTAGGAGTGGAAATGTGTGTGTGCATGAGGTGTGTATGTGTGCATGCATATATGTGTGGTTGTGTGTGTGTGAATGTGTGTGTGTGCATGACTGTATATGGTGTGTGGGAATGTGTGTGAGTGTATGTGTGTGTATGTGCACGTGTGTGTGGCTGTGTGTGTGTGAGTGTGTGTGCATATGTGAGAGCAGGGACGGTTTGGTTGTCCACTATCACCAACTTAACACCCTGCAGGCCAGTAGTTTCATTGCCAGCTGTACTGAGTGGCCAGGTAAGTTTCTATCGAATGAGTACAAAAAACGTTTTACATACGTGTTAACGGCATACTTTAAATTACATGCCGGATGCATTTTGAAGTTATTTGTTACATGTTCTTACAAGCTAACATCTCTTTAAAGTATGAGACTCGTACGGCACCGTGTGACGTGAAAACACGAGTGCACTCGTGACCCGTCTGCAGTGTGTGAGCATTTCTGCCTGGGACTCTGAGGTCACACGCAGACACTCCCAGTGCGCCCCCTCGTCATTCCCGTGGACGTACGGAGCGGAGGGCCTCGTCCTGTGAACGCCCTCCGGAGGAGCAGCTGGACGGGGCCTGTGCCCCAGGGTCGGACACGCACACACCACGTTGGTGCCCTTTTCCTTCTGCCTGTGTCCGACGCCCTGGGCCATCGCTCTGCATGTAACCCCACGTGGAAGACATTCTACCCAAAACCCCTCGAACCCATCACTCACCCCCCTTCCTGCTAAGATACGCCAATCCTTGGTCAGAAACAAAGCAGGAAATCATTTTGGAGTGAAAATCAACTTGCATTTTTATTGGCCTCTGGCAACACGAGTGTGTGTGTGTTCTCTCTCTCTCTCTCTCTCTCTCTCTCTCTCTCTCTCTCTCTCTCTCTCTCTCTCGGCAGAGGCCCCCGAGGTGGCGGTGGACGGCCAGTGCAACTCCCTGAGCTCCGAGGAGCCAGCGAACAGGTGCCGGGCGGCCCTCCCAGGGCCGGGGGCCGGCGTGGGGAGGGGCCGGCGGCCAGGGCCCCGGGGCTCCTCACCGCTGTCCGTCAGCCTCTGCCCTCTCGCCGGGGCCCACGTGGTCCCCCTGAACACGGGACTGCGAGACGCCCGTGCCATCCGTGTGGGAGGCGAGCGGGGAGACCTCGGCCGGGGGAGAGCCGGGCCGGCCTGCCTCCTCGGCGAGGCCCAGACCCCCGGGGGGAAGAGAGGGTTTTAACTTGTTTGAGCCAGATTTCACCGAGCCCTCCCAGCTGGTCCACCGGCCGGCCTTCCTCTGCCCGGGTGCCGGGGAACCCTCCTGCGCAGACTCCTCTCTCCCGCAGCCGGGCGGTCAGCGTGGGCCGCGCGCGCAGAGCCGGGGGCCGCGGGCTAGAGGACGGTCTGGGGTGACGTGCCGTCCGTCTCCTGCAGCGAGGACCCGGCCCAGGCTGAGGACAGCGCCCTGGCCCGCTGGGCGGCCGACCCCGCCAACACCGCCTGGATGGACAGTAAGCTGCCCGCCGCCCGCCAGGGCTGCCCGTGCCCCGGGTCCTCGCCACTCCCCTGCTGTGCCAGGCCCAGCCCCGTAGCCTCGTGCCCTGCGTCGGGGCTAAAGGTTCTGACATCCGTCACTCACTCCGTCCTGTCACTGGGAGCGCTCCCGCCAGCACGGCGCCCCCTGGTGTTTGTGAAATGGCTGGGGGTTTCGGACTGGACCGAGAGGCTGCCCCAGGCCCCCAGCCAGCAGCCCCACCAGACACAGACGGCCTCCTCCCGCCAGCTGGTGCCTCTCCCTGGGGGGGGCGGGGTGCAGCCACCACGGACCCACGGCGGCCACGGCGGCCACGTGTAGTTAGAGAGGGCAGCTGTTTTCCCTGGATGTACTGGTTGTTTTTCATTTTTTGTTAATCCTCACCTGAGGATAGTTTTCCATTGATTTCCAGGGAGAGTGGAAGGGAGAGGGGAAGACAGAGAGAAACACCGATGTGAGAGAGACTCACTTATGGGCTGCCTCCAGCATGCACCCCGACCAGGGCCTGGGCCCGGGAGGAGCCTGCCACTGAGGTGCCTGCCCTTGACCGGAACCGGACCCAGGACCCTGTGGTCTGCAGGCCGCTGCTCTCCCCACTGAGCCAACCCGGCCAGGGTGATGTACTCGTTTTTAAATTTTAAAGGAAAAGCGAACTTGCTTTTCCAGCCGCCTCCTTCCCACCGGCTCATCAGTGGGGTGGTTTCCTTCAGCCCCGAGCCCACGCCCTGCCCTCCCCACAGTGCTCACGCGTGGCAGGTGCATGTGCCCGGCCGATGGCTGCGGGACGGCCGGCTCCCTGGGGACGGGCCCTGCCCCAGGACCTGCGCTCGGCGGTCAGCTGTCCTCACAGGCCCTCTCCCTGCAGACGCTGAGGAAGCCGTTTACGACGACGTGCCCAGGGAGGAGTCGGACTCCGAGCCAGGTGGGCCCCGTCCGCGCTGCGTGTCCAGAGACGGGGGCCGTCTCTCCCGGCAGGCAGATGCCGCCTGAACACACTCCTCTCTCTGTGTGTGCCTGTGTGTCAGTCTGTGTTCTCTGTCTCACAGTGTCCCTGGATCCGTGTGGTGGGCTCACCTGTGTGTGTTCCCATCACAGCACTTCAGAGAGGGTCGTGTCTTCTTTTAAATACATTTATGTTGATCTCAGAGATGGGAGTGAGAAACGTCAGTAAGGAGAGGATCATTGGCCAGGTGCCTCCTTCACGCCCCACACTGGGGATCAAGCCTGAGACCTTGGCGTGTGCCTGTTTAGGCCTGATCGATCCCAAAGGGCCCACAGGGATCAGAGGGCTTAACTTCAGGAATCGAACCTGGGACCCTTCAGCCCATTGACCGACGCTCTGACCACCTAGCAGCACCAGCTGGGACTAGAGGGTCATCTTAATTTCTCTAAAGAAGCAGAAGGAGTTGAAATGTGAGATGTATGAACGAAAAGGTTGGGAACATGTAGGTGAGATGCTCCAGTGTACATCTAACAAATGAGAAAGTAGAAGACAGGACTAAGAACGCTCTAGAATTAAAGGAAAACACACGTTCCCGGATGGCAGGGATGCGGCTGCGGAGTGGGCCACTCCCGGGCCCGGCAGGTGATGCCTCGGCACCGTGTCCCGGCGAGCCCCCACAGGCCCAGGCGGCGGTGCCCCGGGAGCCGTGGTTCGGGGAGGAGCTGTGTCTCCGGCGGGGGCGGCGGGGCGACAGGCACAGCGCCGGGAGAACCCGCCCCCTCCACCCCGAGTTCTGCCGCGGGAGCCTCTCCCAGGAGCGATGGCGACGGAGCCCTCCCCGCCAGACTCCGGAGAAACACCGATGTCGTTCCGGTCCAAGGGAAGGGACGTGGAACACCAAGGGAAGCAGGAGAACGGTGAGCAGCTGGACCGGCAGACAGTGAGCCGTGGGAGCCGCACCCAGCCGGCGGGGAGCGGAGCCTCGGCGAGGCCGACCCGGAACCGCCGTCCGTGTCCGTGCGACGTTCCGGGGAAGCACGTAGACGCTGGCTTGTATGTGCCAGGCCAGGCCTGCCGTTTGTGGGCGCCCTGAAAGGTCAGAAAGAGAGGATTTACCTCCAGGATTGGTGGAGTGACACCCACCTGGCGCCAGCAAGAACACGTAAAGTGAGATGGCACGGCGAACGGCGAGGCAGGAAGATGGCAGAGTGAGCCCAGCGTATTGCTGCTGACAAATACTAGAGGCCCGGGCCCCGGTGCACGAAAATCATGCCAGAGCAGGCCTTCCTCCCCCTGGGACGCAGGATTGGGCTTCCCTCCCTCCGCCCGGCCTGTCCGGAAGGACGTCTGGTCTAATTAGCATATTACGCTTTTATCAGTATAGATGATTGGGCTCCCGTCACCAGGAACAGAGGTTCCTGGGTTGGATAACATAGCAAAGCCAGACACGTTATGAGAACTATGTAAGGACACAGGACATTTGTATGTAAGCATTTGTATGGAAAAAGGAATATAAGCCAATGCTCACCACTACATAGCCAGTACGACTGGGTATTATATGGTGTGTTAGCGATAAAACATGACTAGATAGAGATTCCTCCACAGAGAACGATGACACAGTTCTGAACGTGTGTGCATCCAGTAACATGGCCTAAAACATAGAAAACAGCCTGGCCGGTGTGGCTCAGTGGTTGAGTGTTGACTTATGAACCAGGAGGTCAATTTCCGGCCAGGGCACATGTCCAGGTTGTGGGCTCCATCCCCAGTTGGGGGAGTGCAGGAGGCAGCTAATCAATGATTTTCTCTCATCATTGATGTTTTTTTCTTTCCCTTTCCCTTCCTCTCTGAAATCAATAAAAATATATTTTAAAATATATCAATAAAAATATACATAAAAATATGTATAAAGCAAAAAGATCAGTACATAATTGTGTACTGTTGACTGGAAAGCCACACATGGGATCCTGAAGAGAATAGTTTCAGGACGCACAGCTTTTCAAACACCTGGGCGCTTCTGAAAACTGACTGCGCAGTAGTATGCCCCAAAGCAGATATTAATAAGCACACACATTTGACCATTAAAAGTCACATGACCTGGCCGGTTTGGTCAGTGGATAGAATGGTCTGCGGACTGAATGGCCCCCAGTTCGTTCCAGTCAAGGGCATATGGCTGGGTGTGGGCTCTTTCCCCAGTGTGGGGTGTGTAGGAGGCAGCCAATCAGTGATTCTCTTTCTTCTTTTTTATTTTATTAAATTATTATCTGTGTACATATTTTAACATCGCCCCCCCCCATACATACTCAATGATTCTCTTTCATCATTGATGTTTCTATCTCTCCCTCTCGCTCTCTGAAATAAATTTTTTAAAAAGTCACATGGCCACACACATATCCCATGGCCAAAGATGGAATTAGAGTGGAAGTTAGGAGATGTTTTAACTTGAATAATAATGAAAATATTACATAAGAACTTATAGAGTGGATTTAGAATAGTTAGAAATTAAAGAGATTATGGCATCTGCTAAAAAGAAACAGAAAGACTGAAAAATAATGAGCTCAGCATCCGACTCGGCAGTCAGAGAAGGGGAGGGAAGAAGTAAAAAGGACACGCACACTGGAACCAGGAGACAGGAAACGAGAGGACCCACCAAGCGCAAGTGTAATTCTCTGAGAATGAGAGCAGGAGTCCCTGTGAGGACAGGCTTGTCATTGCCTTGGCGTGTCCTTCAGAGGGGCTGCGGTGATAGAGCCCTTTCAATCCGGGAACAGATGATTTATAGTCTTATTAAGCCATTGACCCATCTATCCATATACCCATCCATCTATTTATCCACCCGTCTATCCATCCACCCACTCATCCACCCATCTAACCATCCATCTAATTGTCCATCCATCCATCTAACAAGCTACCTACCCACCATCCATCCACCCACCCTTCCATCCATCTACCCATCCATCCATCTACCCACCCTTCCATCCATCCACCCTTCCATCCATCCATCCATCCACCCATCCATCTATCTACCCACCCTTCCATCCACCCACCCTTCCATCCATCTACCCATCCATCCATCTACCCACCCTTCCATCCATCCACCCTTCCATCCATCCATCCATCCATCCATCCACCCATCCATCTATCTACCCACCCTTCCATCCATCCACCCTTCCATCCGTCCATCCATTCACCCATCTAACCATTCATCCATCTCTCCACCCTTCCATCCATCCATCCATCCATCCATCCATCCAACCATTCATCCATCTCTCCACCCTTCCATCCATCCATCCATCCATCCATCCACCCACCCACCCACCCATCTAACCATCCATCTATCCTTCCATCCATCCACCCATCTAACCATCCATCCATCCATCCAACCATCCATCTAACTGTCCATCCATCCATCCATCATCCACCCACCTACTCTCTCCATCTTCCCTTCCATCTGTCTACCCATCTATCCATCTATTTGTCCTTCCATTCACCCACCCTCCCATCCATCTACCCATCCATCCATCTAACCGTCCATCATTCATCCATCCAACAATCCATCCATCTAATCATCTATCCATCCATCCATCCACCATCCACCCATTCATTATCCATCCACCCATCCACCCAAAACATTTCTATCCCTTACATTTATCTAAACCACATGTGTCAAACACAAGGCCCGCGGGCCAAATCCGTCCCGCCAGGCCTTGCAATGTGGCCCGCACCGCGCTGTCATCACTGCACTCCGCTGCATTTCCATCACAATGACAGTTTATGACTGTTCAGTAAACCATTCGGCCCGCGATTTAGGCTGGATTTTAGATTTTGGCCCCTTCTCTGATTGAGTTCGACACCCCTAATCTAAACAAACAATTTTCTCCGTGGGAAGGTCTTTGTGACCAATAATCATTGTGACTGGGTTTCGTGTCAGTGTGAGTGTGGATTTTGTGTTGGTGTGACTGGATTTCGTGTCGGTGTGAGAGTGGATTCTGTGCAGCACCAGGGCCTCAGGATACAGATGGGGCTGAGTGTCAGAGCTTCGGGAAGACCCAGGCATCTCCAGCCCCACAGGCCCCACATAATGCCCCCCGGAGGGGCAGCCCGAGCCGGCCCCGCCCGCTGCTCCTCTGAAGCGGCCCAGCCACGTGGTGAAACGAGGACCTGCAGGACTCGGCGGGTGCGGGGTGCGCTCCTAACTCCGTCCTGTGCTCGCCCTCAGATGAGCTGATCTACGACGCCGTGGAGAACGGAGACGAGGGTGGAAACAGCTCGCTGGAGTACGGGTGGAGCTCCAGTGAGTTCGAGAGTTACGGGGAGCAGAGCGACTCCGAGGGCAGGAACGGGGTCCCCCGGTCCTTCCTGCGCAGCAGCCACCGGAAGCAGGTGCGTGTGCGCCGTCGGCTTATGGCACAACCGGGCCGGCCGTGGGATGCCGGCTCACAAGATGGGCACATGAGTGTTTTAGGTGCCGGTGGGCGGCTCGAGGCGAGCACAGGGTTGGCAGAAGAGAAGGGGCCCACGTCGCGGCAGGTGGGAGCGCACGTGTGGAGCTCTGCCCGCAGAGGCCGGGAGAGCTGTGCCCTGCGTGTTCCAGTGAGCTCAGCGCCGTCCTGTGGTGACCGGGTGCTCGGTGATCTGCCTGCTGCCGAGGGGGAGCCGGGCTGCTGGGCAGTGACACTCGCTATCCCTCAGGGACGTCGGAGTCCGGTGCCCACCATGGGCAGGAAGACATAACATAGACCCCGTGACAGGACAGGTCCGGGCTGCCCACGACCACGCCAGAGGGCAGTGTGTGTGTGTGTCTGACCTCAGGGCCCAGCGGGGGACGCAGGATGGAGGCCTGGAGTCTGGGACGGGGTGGAGGCAGCTCAGGTGTGTGAGGTCCCGGGTTGCCGTGGTGACTGGCTGTGCCACATCCACTGTGGTTGCTGGGGTTTGGGCTGTTTTCAAAAGGGGTGCTATGTTCTGACGTCTGCAGTGATGGCAGCGTCCTCGTGTACTTTGGAGGTTGAGATGCAGCCTGGTGTGACCTGGTGGGAGGGACAGACACAGCCCGGTGTGACCGGGTGGGTGTGACCTGGTGGGTGGAACCCAAGGACCAGGCTCCTGGCTGGCTGAGAAGTCAGGTGAGAACCACCCTGTGGCACCAGTTCTCGCCCCGGTACTGTGGGTGTGCTGACTGGGAGCGGGGCCCTGGCATAGCAATGTGGACACTGTGGTCACACTGAGACCTCGCTGTGTTCCTCCTGTGAGCCCCGCTGGCTGTCCCCCTGCGAGTCCTGCAGGCCGCATCCAGGGTTCTTCCGTGTGGAGATGACGGACGGACGGACGGACGGACGGGCGTCCTTCCTGCAGGCCTCCCAGATCGGTCACTTACCTCATCCCGATGGTGGGACGGGGCCAGGCCTCCATGTGTGTTTGCCGGCACGCACAGACAGCTCCCAGCCGGCTCACCAGGGGTGGCGTCTGTCCCGAGCTGCTGCCATCACACGTGCTTATTTTTATTTTAAAAAAATGTATTTTATTGATTTCAGAGAGGGAGGGGCAGAGAGGGGGAGAGAGAAACACCAGTGATGGGAGAGAGTCATGAGCCGGCTGCCTCCTGCACGCCCCCCTCTGGGGATGGAGCCCACAGCCCAGGCCTGTGCCCTGAGCGGGAATCCAGCGGGACCTCCTGGGTCCGAGGCCGGCACTCAGCCAGGGGCCACGCGGCCGGGCCGCAGTCACTGGTGTCTGTCTCGGGGCTGGCGGCGTGGCGGTGGCTCCCGGGAGACCGTCAGGGTAAGACTGCGGTCCCCGGAGGGCGCCTTGTGAAAGATGTCTCTCTGTGCCCAGCTGTCCCACGACCTGGCCCGGGTGAAGGCGCGCTATGAGAGAAAGATGAGAGAGCTGGTGGCCAGCACAGTGGGCGCGGGGGAGATGCAGCAGCTAAAGCAGAAGCAGGAGCTGAAGGTAGCGTGGCCCCTCCCCTCCCGCTGTGTCCACAAGGCGCCCGAGGCCCTGGGGACTGCTCGGCCACGCCCGGCGCTCAGCAGCCTCCTGTCCAGCTGGGGGCCATTTGCCTCCCTTCTCCCCCCCACTCTCCCGCCACTGGCAGAGGGGGTACCTAGAGGCCCCCAGGTGGGCCATCCCAGCCCCTGGAAGGCAGGCCCAGCAGCCTGCGACCAGCCGCCTGCAGAGCGCCCCCTGTGGTGGGGAAAGGCAGTGGCTTTTGGCGGAGACCCGTGAGGGGTTATGAGGACTTCCCGGGGACGATCAGTGGAAAGCGTCCAGTCCCTCAGCGCCCGAGGCCTGCAGCGGCACAGGCGCACGGCCCAGGAGCACGGCGGCCGGCTCCATCGTCCCGAGCGCAGTGGGTCCTGACCCGGTGTGAGGGCTGCGTTTGGACGCGTGATGGCCACCGGCTCCTTGAGATGTGTTCCATTTACTTGTTTACTTTTAAAGTATATTTTTTAATTGATTTCAGAGAGGAAGGGAGAGACATCAGTGATGAGAGAGAATCACGGACTGGCTGCCTCTGCACGCCCCCATCTGGGTATGGAGCCCACACCCGGGCCTGTGCCTTCCCGGGGAATGGAACTGAGACCTCGTGGTTCAGAGGTCAATGCTCAACCACGGAGCCACGCCGCCGGGCCACTGCGCTGTGTTTCAAAGGCCCCTGTCTCATGCAGCTTCCTGCAGCCCGGGCCCCGCCCCTCCTGTGGCCGTGGCCGTGGCCGTGGCCGTGTGCCGAGTGCGCTTACCTGGACGTCCACGTCTGCCTGGCATCGTCCCCTCCCCGCTGCTCTGTGCCCAGTGTGTCTGTGCTGTGTGCCCAGTCTGTGTGCTCTGTGCCCAGTGTGTGTGTGTGTGTGTGTGGGGGGGTGACAGTGTGTCTGTGTGGGGACAATGTGTGTGTGTGTGTGGGGGGACAATGTGTTTGTGCTCTGTGCCGTGTGTGTGTGTGTGTGTGTGTGGGGGGGGGGTGACAGTGTGTCTCTGTGGGGACAATGTGTGTGTGTGTGGGGGGACAGTGTGTTTGTGCTCTGTGCCGTGTGTGTGTGTGTGTGTGTGGGGGGGAGACAGTGTGTCTCTGTGGGGACAATGTGTGTGTGTGTGGGGGGGACAGTGTGTTTGTGCTCTGTGCCGTGTGTGTGTGTGTGTGTGTGTGGGGGGGGGGGGGACAGTGTGTGTCTGTGGGGACAATGTGTGTGTGTGGGGGGACAGTGTGTTTGTGCTCTGTGCCCAGTGTGTGTGTGCTGGGTGTAGGGACAGTGTGTCTGTGTGGGGACAATGTGTGTGTGGGGATAGTGTGTGTGTGCTGGGTGTGGGGACGGTATGTCTGTGTGGGGACAGTGTGTGTGTGGGGATAGTGTGTGTGTGTGTGTGTGGGGGGATAGTGTGTGTGTGCTGGGTGTGTGTGGGGATAGTGTGTGTGTGCTGGGTGTGGGGATAGTGTGTGTGTGCTGGGTGTGGGGACGGTGTGTGTGTGCTGTGTGTGGGGATAGTGTGTGTGTGTGTGTGGGGGTAGTGTGTGTGTGCTGGGTGTGGGGATAGTGTGTGTGTGTGTGGGGGGGATAGTGTGTGTGTGTGTGTGTGGGGGGATACTGTGTGTGTGCTGGGTGTGTGTGGGGATAGTGTGTGTGTGCTGGGTGTGGGGATAGTGTGTGTGTGCTGGGTGTGGGGACGGTGTGTGTGTGCTGTGTGTGGGGATAGTGTGTGTGTGTGTGGGGGGTAGTGTGTGTGTGCTGGGTGTGGGGATAGTGTGTGTGTGTGTGGGGGGGATAGTGTGTGTGTGTGTGTGTGGGGGGGGATACTGTGTGTGTGCTGGATGTGTGTGGGGATAGTGTGTGTGTGCTGGGTGTGGGGATAGTGTGTGTGTGCTGGGTGTGGGGACGGTGTGTGTGTGCTGTGTGTGGGGATAGTGTGTGTGTGTGTGGGGGGGGGTAGTGTGTGTGTGCTGGGTGTGGGGACGGTGTGTCTGTGTGGGGACAGTGTGTGTGTGGGGATAGTGTGTGTGTGTGTGGGGATAGTGTGTGTGTGCTGGGTGTGGGGACGGTGTGTGTGTGCTGGGTGTGGGGATGGTGTGTGTGTGCTGGGTGTGGGGACGGTGTGTGTGTGCTGTGTGTGGGGATAGTGTGTGTGTGTGTGTGTGTGGGGGTAGTGTGTGTGTGCTGGGTGTGGGGATAGTGTGTGTGTGTGTGGGGGGGGGGGATAGTGTGTGTGTGCTGGGTGTGGGGACGGTGTGTCTGTGTGGGGACAATGTGTGTGTGGGGATAGTGTGTGTGTGTGGGGGATAGTGTGTGTGTGCTGGGTGTGTGTGGGGATAGTGTGTGTGTGCTGGGTGTGGGGACGGTGTGTCTGTGTGGGGACAATGTGTGTGGGGATAGTGTGTGTGTGGGGATAGTGTGTGTGTGTGTGTGTGTGTGTGTGTGGGGATAGTGTGTGTGTGTGTGTGTGGGGGGATAGTGTGTGTGTGCTGGGTGTGGGGATAGTGTGTGTGTGTGTGTGGGGGGGGGGGATAGTGTGTGTGTGTGTGTGGGGGGGGATAGTGTGTGTGTGCTGGGTGTGGGGACGGTGTGTCTGTGTGGGGACAATGTGTGTGTGGGGATAGTGTGTGTGTGTGTGTGTGTGGGGATAGTGTGTGTGTGTGTGTGTGTGTGTGGGGATAGTGTGTGTGTGTGTGGGGGGATAGTGTGTGTGTGCTGGGTGTGGGGATAGTGTGTGTGTGTGTGTGGGGGGGGATAGTGTGTGTGTGCTGTGTGTGGGGACGGTGTGTGTGTGCTGTGTGTGGGGACGGTGTGTGTGTGCTGGGTGTGGGGACGGTGTGTGTGTGCTGTGTGTGGGGACGGTGTGTGTGTGCTGGGTGTGGGGACGGTGTGTGTGTGCTGTGTGTGGGGACGGTGTGTCTGTGTGGGGACAATGTGTGTGTGGGGATAGTGTGTGTGTGTGTGTGGGGGGGGATAGTGTGTGTGTGGGGATAGTGTGTGTGTGTGGGGGGGGTAGTGTGTGTGTGCTGGGTGTGTGTGGGGATAGTGTGTGTGTGCTGGGTGTGGGGATAGTGTGTGTGTGTGTGTGTGTGTGTGTGGGGATAGTGTGTGTGTGCTGGGTGTGTGTGGGGATAGTGTGTGTGTGCTGTGTGTGGGGACGGTGTGTGTGTGCTGGGTGTGGGGACGGTGTGTGTGTGTGTGTGTGGGGGATAGTGTGTGTGTGCTGGGTGTGGGGATAGTGTGTGTGTGTGTGTGTGTGGGGGGATAGTGTGTGTGTGCTGGTTTTGGGGACGGTGTGTGTGTGTGTGGGGGATAGTGTGTGTGTGCTGGGTGTGGGGATAGTGTGTGTGTGCTGGGTGTGGGGACGGTGTGTGTGTGTGTGTGTGGGGAGATAGTGTGTGTGTGCTGGGTGTGGGGACGGTGTGTCTGTGCTGGGGCGGGAGCAGGACCAGGGCCATCAGTCAGGCTCGCTCAGTCAGGGTCCGGCAGGTCCCTCGGGTGGCCATGTCTGGGCTGGGCCGGCCCAGGCGAGTACAGGGCCTGGCGGGTTCCGGGAGCCCCGTTAGTCAGCAGAAGCCTGTGAGGGTGGCTGGGTCCTGGAGCGGTTTGGAACTGGCGGATGGTCGGTCGGGAGCGGCAGGGTCCCAGGGAGGCGGGCACATGGGCAGCCTTGGGGGCGGGTGGGCAGGTACCCCAGGGCCTGCTGGCTCCTCCCTCTGGCCAGACACAGGCTCTCCTCTCCTCTCCTCTCCTCGCCCGCAGTTCCTCCCCAGCTCCGGGCCAGGCCTCCTGTCCCTGCACATGGGGGGCGGGGGGGAGAGGGAGCCAAGACGGGAACGGGCTGGACGAGCACAGCGGCCGGGTCAGGGGAGGAGAGTGGGGGTCGGGGGAGGATAAGGGGGCTCGGGGGAGGATAAGGGGGCTCGGGGGGAGGAGAGGGGGGCTCAGGGGGAGGAGAGTGGGGCTCGGGGGAGGATAAGGGGGCTCGGGGGGAGGAGAGGGGGGCTCAGGGGGAGGAGAGTGGGGCTCGGGGGAGGATAAGGGGGCTCGGGGGGAGGAGAGGGGGGCTCGGGGGGAGGAGAGTGGGGCTCGGGGGAGGATAAGGGGGCTCGGGGGGAGGAGAGGGGGGCTCGGGGGGAGGAGGAGGGGGGCTCGGGGGGAGGAGGAGGGGGGCTCGGGGGGAGGAGGGGGGGCTCGGGGGAGGAGAGGGGGGCTCAGGGGGAGGAGAGTGGGGCTCGGGGGAGGATAAGGGGGCTCGGGGCGGGAGAGGGGGGCTCGGGGGGAGGAGAGTGGGGCTCGGGGGGAGGAGAGGGGGGCTCGGGGGGAGGAGAGGGGGGCTCGGGGGGAGGAGAGGGGGGCTCGGGGGGAGGAGGAGGGGGGCTCGGGGGGAGGAGGGGGGGGCTCGGGGGGAGGAGGGGGGGGCTCGGGGGGAGGAGGAGGGGGGCTCGGGGGGAGGAGGGGGGGGCTCGGGGGGAGGAGAGGGGGGCTCGGGGCCATGGAGGAGGGAAGCTTCGGGGGTGTCAGGGCGCACCGTCCACAGGATGCTGTCGTCGGTCGAAGGGATGCGGGAGCCAGGGGCCCAGCTGCTCGCAGGGTGGATGTGGAGGGGGGTGGGGGGGCAGAGGGGTCCTCCGGCTGCGGAAGTGGGGCCTGCTGGGCGCTGATGCGGTTCAGTTCGGGGGGGGGGGGGGGGAGCATGGTCTTGGTGGACGGCTTTGGGAGGCGCCTGCGGCTGGGGCGGGGCGGGGGGCGGGGAAGGGCTTGCAGGGACGGTGGGCTGGAGATGCACTGTGTGATGTCACCTGGGAGCTGCTCACGGGGGTGGGGGGCAGGTGGGGGGGTGGGGGGGTAGTGGGGTAGTGGGCGCGGGGCGGCATGCTCACACCGGAGCCCCAATCTGCAGGCACGGGGCAGCCCCGACCAATCTGGAGTGCCAGCCGCCCGCCCTGGGCTGGCAGCAGGTCCGGGCAGGGCGCACGGCCGGGCTTGAGGCCAGTGGTGCTGGCGGGAGGGGCGGCAGCCCAGGGGGGGTACCTGAGCCTCTCCCGGGACCAGGAGGCGGGTCCCAGGTCACTCGGAGGGTGTGGGCCTCCCCTCGGAGGCCGCCCACGCTTCTCTGGAGGAAGCCCTGGTCCCCGAGGCCAGCCCTCAGACCTGGGCCCTTTAAGAACCGGACGCACTCTGCCGGCCGCTCTGAGACGCTGGCGGGCTGGGTCAGCGAGGCCCCCGGCCGGGGCAGCCTGTGGCCGCAGGTGTCCGCAGAGGTGTGGAGGCCGGCCTGGTCCTGCCCCCGCTGTCCCTCTGTCTGTCCTGCCCGTCCCTCTGTCTGCCTGCAGTCACTGTGTCTTGCCATTGAGTGCGTGCAGCGCTCTGTGCCGTGGGCTGTGGGCCGTGGACGGGGCTGTGGTCAGTCGACGGGGCTGTGGGCCGTGGACGGGGCTGTGGGCAGTGGACGGGGCTGTGGGCCATGGACGGGGCTGTGGGCAGTGGACGGGGCTGTGGGCCGTGGACGGGGCTGTGGGCAGTGGACGGGGCTGTGGGCCGTGGCTGTGGGCAGTGGACGGGGCTGTGGGCCGTGGACGGGGCTGTGGGCAGTGGACGGGGCTGTGGGCAGTGGACGGGGCTGTGGTCAGTGGACGGGGCTGTGGGCCGTGGACGGGGCTGTGGGCAGTGGACGGGGCTGTGGTCAGTGGACGTGGCTGTGGGCTGTGGACGGGGCTGTGGGCAGTGGACGGGGCTGTGGGCAGTGGACGGGGCTGTGGGCTGTGGACGGGGCTGTGGGCAGTGGACGGGGCTGTGGGCCGTGGATGTGGCTGTGGTCAGTGGACGGGGCTGTGGGCTGGGGCTGTGGGCAGTGGACGGGGCTGTGGGCCGTGGACGGGGCTGTGGGCCGTGGACGGGGCTGTGGGCAGTGGACGGGGCTGTGGGCAGTGGACGGGGCTGTGGGCAGTGGACGTGGCTGTGGGCAGTGGACGGGGCAGTGGACGGGGCTGTGGGCACTGGATGGGGCTGTGGGCCGTGGACGGGGCTGTGGGCAGTGGACGGGGCCGTGGGCTGTGGGCCGTGGCTGTGGGCAGTGGACGGGGCTGTGGGCAGTAGACGGGGCTGTGGGCCGTGGCTGTGGTCAGTGGACGGGGCTGTGGTCAGTGGACGGGGCTGTGGTCAGTGGACGGGGCTGTGGGCCGTGGCTGTGGGCAGTGGACGGGGCGGTGGGCAGTGGACGTGGCTGTGGGCAGTGGATGGGGCTGTGGGCCGTGGACGGGGCTGTGGGCAGTGGACGGGGCTGTGGGCAGTGGATGTGGCTGTGGACCGTGGACATGGCTGTGGGCAGTGGACGGGGCTGTGGGCCGTGGCTGTGGGCAGTGGGCAGTGGACGGGGCTGTGGGCAGTGGACGGGGCTGTGGGCCATGGACGGGGCTGTGGGCAGTGGACGGGGCTGTGGGCCATGGCTGTGGGCAGTGGATGTGGCTGTGGACCGTGGACGTGGCTGTGGGCAGTGGATGGGGCTGTGGGCAGTGGACGGGGCTGTGGGCAGTGGATGGGGCTATGGACCGTGGACGTGGCTGCCTGAGGCTGGGTGGGCTGTGGAGCGCCAGGGCTGGCGGGCGGGCTGGTATGCCCTCTCCGAGGCCGAGGCCTTCCCCGCTCTGCCGGCTGCTTGCACTGCCGTGTCCCAATGAAGATGTAAACAGAGGGCTCTAACGCGTCAGTCACAGAAGGCTCTGAGCTAGTTTGCTCTTCCCTTTTAAAAAAATGTTTTTATTTTATTGGCTTCACAGAGGAAGGGAGAGGGAGAGAGTGAAACCTCCATGATAAGAGAGAATCAAGGACCAGCTGCCTCCTGCACTCCCCACACTGCCTCCTGGAACCCCGGGCCTGTGCCCCAACCGGGAATCGCACTGTGACCTCCTGGTTCATAGATGCACGCTCAGCCCCTGAGCCACGCCGGCCGGGCTGCTTCTCCCGGTTTTTGAAAAGGCAGACCGCCGGCACCGCACACACACACTCGGGCCCGCCAGGACCGCCCGCGGCTGGTCCAGAGCAGCCACCTGTGCTGGTGGACCGGCGGGGACGTGCCTGGGGAGCACGGAGCCCGCCTCACGCCCCTCGCCCGCAGGTGCAGAAGCTGATGAAGGCGGCCAAGGAGGGCACGCGGGACGGGCTGGAGAGGACCAAGGCCGCCGTGAAGAAGGGCCGCTCCTTCATCAGGACCAAGTCCTTCATCTCCCCAGGTGAGCGCTGCAGTGGAGTCGCTGCGCTGGCCAGCGGGAGCCCGGCTTCCGGCTGAGCGGCGCCCCCTGTGGGAGCTCACTGACCCCCAGCGAACCGCTCCTGCGCCAAGCCTCTGCCCCCTGGTGGTCAGGGCGTGTCATAGCCACTGGTCACTCTGCTGTTTGGTCGATTTGCTTATTAGCCTTGTGTTAGACTGGATCACAGCACAGCCACTTCCAGTTCACCGTCAGGACTAAACGCCCCCGCTGCCCTGGGAGGCGAGCTCCAGGGACTGAGCATTTCCGCACCAGCAGCGCCCTGTGGGAAGGGCGTGTGGCCTGGGGCGTCGGGGAGGGGCGGGAGTGGACGGGAACGGGAGGCTGCCATTGGCTGCTCCCGGTGTGCGGGGCGTGGTCTCCGGGTCACACCTTGTCACACCCGCTCGCCCCCTCCTCAGACCCCCGGCCGGGCCTCGAGGAGGAGCAGAGCGTGTTCATCGACGTGGACTGCCGGCACCCCGAGGCCGTGCTCACCCCGATGCCCGCGGGGCTGTCCCAGCAGCAGGTAGGGCGGCCGGCGGGCTCACCCGGCGGGGGCGGCCAGGGCCTGGGGGGGCCGGGGACCTGGGCGGCGGGGCCTGGGGGGCGGGGCCTGGGGGGCGGGGAACCTGGGGGCCGGGGCCTGGGGGGCCGGGTCCTGGGGGGCCGGGGCCTGGGGGGGGCCGGGGCCTGGGCGGTGGGGACCTGGGGGGCGGGGAACCTGGGGGGCGGGGCCTGGGCGGCGGGGAACCTGGGGGCCGGGGCCTGGGGGGCCGGGGCCTGGGGGGCCGGGGCCTGGGGGGCCGGGGCCTGGGGGGCCGGGGCCTGGGCTGCGGGGCCTGGGGGGGCCAGGGCCTGGGCGGCGGGGCCTGGGGGGCGGGGAACCTGGGCGGCGGGGCCTGGGGGGGCCGGGGCCTGGGCGGCGGGGACCTGGGGGGCCGGGGCCTGGACGGCAGGGAACCTGGGGGGCGGGGACCTGGGCTGCGGGCTCGGGGGGGGGGGGGGGGGCCGGGGCCTGGGCGGCGGGGAACCTGGGGGGCCGGGGCCTGGGGGCGGGGCCTGGGCGGCGGGGCCTGGGGGGGCCGGGGCCTGGGGGGCGGGGCCTGGGGGGCGGGGAACCTGGGGGGCGGGGAACCTGGGGGGCGGGGCCTGGGCGGCCGGGGCCTGGGGGGCGGGGGCCTGGGGGGCGGGGGCCTGGGCGGCGGGGAACCTGGGGGGCGGGGAACCTGGGCGGCGGGGCCTGGGGGGGCCGGGGCCTGGGCGGCGGGGACCTGGGGGGCCGGGGCCTGGACGGCAGGGAACCTGGGGGGCGGGGACCTGGGCTGCGGGCTCGGGGGGGGGGGGGGGGGCCGGGGCCTGGGCGGCGGGGAACCTGGGGGGCCGGGGCCTGGGGGGCGGGGCCTGGGCGGCGGGGCCTGGGGGGCCGGGGCCTGGGGGGCCGGGACCTGGGGGGCGGGGGCCTGGGGGGCGGGGCCTGGGGGGCGGGGAACCTGGGGGGCGGGGAACCTGGGGGGCGGGGCCTGGGCGGCCGGGGCCTGGGGGGCGGGGGCCTGGGGGGCGGGGGCCTGGGCGGCGGGGAACCTGGGGGGCGGGGAACCTGGGCGGCGGGGCCTGGGGGGGCTGGGGCCTGGGCGGCGGGGTCTGGGGGCCGGGGCCTGGGCGGCGGGGACCTGGGCGGCGGGGCCTGGGCGGCGGGGCCTGGGGGGCGGGGAACCTGGGCGGCGGGGACCTGGGCGGCGGGGCCTGGGCGGCGGGGCCTGGGGGGGGCCGGGGCCTGGGCGGCGGGGCCTGGGGGGCGGGGAACCTGGGCGGCGGGGAACCTGGGGGGCGGGGCCTGGGGGCCGGGGCCTGGGCGGCGGGGAACCTGGGGGGCGGGGAACCTGGGCGGCGGGGCCTGGGGGGGCCGGGGTCTGGGCGGCGGGGTCTGGGGGCCGGGGCCTGGGCGGCGGGGACCTGGGCGGCGGGGCCTGGGCGGCGGGGCCTGGGGGGGGCCGGGGCCTGGGCGGCGGGGACCTGGGGGGCCGGGGCCTGGGCGGCGGGCCTGGGGGGCCGGGGCCTGGGCGGCGGGGCCTGGGGGGCGGGGAACCTGGGCGGCGGGGAACCTGGGGGGCGGGGCCTGGGGGGCGGGGCCTGGGGGCCGGGGCCTGGGCGGCGGGGACCAGGGCTCGGACGGCCGGTTCCTGAGTGTTTGAGGCTCCCCCGGTGGCTCTGAGCCGGCCGTGCAGAGCGCACACCGGGGTGTTCCTTCTGGTGCGGGCGGCCGGCGGGTTCGCCGAGAGAGAGGCAGCATGGAGGGTCACGTCTGCGGAGGGTTCTCTGGTCTCATTCTTGTGTTTTTATTAACTTGTTTTGTGTCGGTGCCAGTCCTTTGTCCGACACGTGAGGACTATCTCAGGACTTAGAAAAGGACGCAGAACTCCGAGGTCAGACCCCGAGTGGTCCCCTCGGACGGGAGGCCGCACGGTGATGGGAGTGGTGGAAGGCCGGCCGCGGTTTGACCCTCGGCCTGTCTGAGGCGGGGGTGACTCGGACCCGGGGCCCAACTCCCGTTCTGAGGGTCGTGGAACATGTAGCTCAGAGTCAGACACGTTACGTGGAATGTGTAACAGAGTTGGGCGCGTGTGTGCCTGCGTCGTGGTGGCAGGCGTCGGCGCTGTGGCTCCGTGTCCGCCTGTGGTCAGTGCCGTGAGCGTCGGGGGGCGCTGTGGCGAGGGGGCGGCGCGCTGGTCCGGACGCTGGCTCAGAGCAGCTGTCACAGTGCGGTGAGGCCTACGGCTGCCTTCCCCTTCCCGCGGGCCCAGCACCCAGCACCGGCGCCCTCGCTGTGCCCGCCCCCAGGTGGTCCGGAGGTGCATCCTGGGCTCCATTGTGGACAGCGAGAAGAACTACGTGGACGCCCTCACTCGGATCCTGGAGGTGCGTGTCCCTCCCGCCCGCCCGCTGCCCCGCCGCAGACGCCCTGCAGGAGGGAGCGCGGGGGCTGCCTCCCCCGGAGGAACGGCTAACGAACGTCTTTAAGCAAAAACAAGTTAGCCGTGGCCAGTGCGGCTCAGTGGGTAGAGCACCGGCCTGTGGTCCCGCGGGTCCGGGTTCGGTTCTGGCCAAGGGCACCTGGGTGGCAGACCCTCCCTGGCTGGGCCTTGGTCGGCGCTCCTGCAGGAGGCACATGGGTGTGTCTCTCTCACGTCGATGTTTCTCTCTGTCTCCCCTCTCGCTTCTACTCTCCCTGAAAACCAACGGGAGAGGATTAGACAAAAGTAATAAATAAAACCAGTAAAAACACGCCGAGTGGTGTGTGTTGGAGTCCCTGTACGGACACCACTCATCCCCCCACACTCCGCCCCGCCCCCTCTGCCCCCACAGCCCCCCACACTCCGCCCCGCCCCCTCTGCCCCCACAGCCCCCCACACTCCGCCCCGCCCCCTCTGCCCCCACAGCCCCCCACACTCCGCCCCGCCCCCTCTGCCCCCAGCAGTACGAGCGGCCGCTGGCGGAGACGGAGCCGCGGGTGCTGAGTGAGCGGAAGCTGCGGGTGGTGTTCCACCGGCTGCGGGAGGTGCTGCAGTGCCACCGCCTGTTCCAGATGGCGCTGGCCAGCCGCGTGGCCGAGTGGGACGTGGTGGAGATGATCGGCGATGTCTTCGTGGCCTCGGTGAGTGCCGCCTGCCGCCCAGGGCGGCGGGCCCGGGAGGACGCCCACGCCTGCCCCTCCAGGCAGGCTGGGCGGTGCTGGCTGCGCCCGTCCCTGTGCTGGCGGGGGTGGTCGGGGAGCCTGCGTGAGGCCCTCCCTCTCTGTAGCCCGTCCCCTCCTGGGCACTGGGGAGCTGGCCAATACACCCGCCTCCCCTCAGCCCGCGCTCCGAGCCCGGAGCTCCCTTGCAGACGCTGGGCCCCTGGGCTGGCAGGGGGGCGGGGAGGGCAGAGGGGAGGCGGGCTGCAGTGGCTCCTGGGCACGGGCCCTCAGCCAGCTGCCTGGAGGTAGCTCTCATTATTGCAGATGGCATAATATTGTGCATAGAAAACCCTAAAGACTCCACCAAAAACCCCCACAAAACAACTAGATTTAATAAATGAATTCAGCAAAGTAGCAGGAACAGAATCCACGCCCAAAAATCTATGACTTTCTTGTATACCGATAATGAATTCTCAGAAAGAGAAACTAAATAATCCCACTTACCATTGCATCCAAAATAACATACTTGGGAATACACTTAACGAGGAGGTAGAAGACCTGCACTCCGAAAACCACAGGATGTTGAAAGAAGAGGTAGAGGAAGACATAAACTAGTGGAAGAGTATACCATGTTCATGGATCCGTAGCATCAGCATCACTAAAATGTCCGTATTACCCAAAGCAAGCTCCAGATTGAACGCAACCCCTAATGAAATACCAACGGCATATTTTATAGATCCAGAATGAACACTCCAAAAACGTATACGGGACCCAAAGAGGCCCTGGAGAGCTGAAGCATCTTGAGAAAGTAGAGCGAAATGGGAGGGATCCCAGTACCAGATGCTAAATTACACTGCAAAGCCACTGCCCTCAAAGCAGCCAGGCCCTGGCACAAGAGCAGGCGGGTAGACCAGCGGGACGGAACAGAGTCCCCGGAACCGACCCGGAAAGTCCCACGTGGCGGGACGGAGTCTGTTCCGTGGGGCGTGGCCGTGGCGGGGGTCACTCAGGTCGGGAGGCCCCTGGGCGCGGCGCTCCTCACGTCTCCCACGTCCGATTTCAGTTCTCCAAGTCCATGGTGCTGGACGCCTACAGCGAGTACGTGAACAACTTCAGCGCGGCCGTGGCCGTGCTCAAGAAGGCCTGCGCCACAAAGCCCGCCTTCCTGGAGTTCCTCAAGGTGGGCCTCTTCCCCGTTCCGGTTTTATTTATTATTATTATTATTACTGACTCTTTACAGAGCGGACGGGAGAGGGATAGAGAGTCAGAAACATCAGTGAGAGAGAAACATTGGTCAGCTGCCTCCTGCACACCCTCTACTGGGGATGTGCCCGCAACCAAGGCACATGCCCTTTACCGGAATGGAACCCGGGACCTTTCAGTCCGCAGGCCGACGCTCTATCCACTGAGCCACACCGGTTCAGGGCCCATTCCGGGTTCTGGGTTTTGACGCCTCTGAAAACAGGCTCCGCGTGGGAGACCTGGTGATGAGCTGAAGCACCCTCGCCTCCCAGTGCTCCATGCCGCTCGCTCACTGTCACCGCTTTGAACCAACAGCGCCCTGGGTGCTGGATCGATGCGAGAAAGAGAGATGCATTTTTAGGGGGAACATAGCTTTTACTTTTAGTAATTTATTTTATTATTATTATTTTGTTAATCCTTGCCTGAGGATATTTCTCCCATTGATTTTTAGAGAGAGTTGAAGGGACAGGAGAGAGAGGAGAGAAAGAGAGAGAGAGGGAGAAAGAGAGAGAAAGAGAGGGAGAAAAAGAGAGGAGAGAGAGAGGGGAACATTGATGTGAGAGACACATCCATTGGTGGCCTCCCCCTCACACTCCAACCGGGGCTGGGGATCCAACCTGCAAACCAGGGACTGAACCTGAGACCCTTCGGTGTGCGGGCCAGTGCTCCAACCACTGAGCACACTGGCCAGGGCCTGAAGCCAGCCATGCTCGCTGTAGGCCAGGGGCGGAGAGGTGGGCCTGAGGGACAGGTGGGTAGGGGAGGAGGTGGGGGGACAGGCAGCGGAGGAAGTGTCTGCAGACACGGACGCAGGCCCTGCGTGGCCGTGGCCCCGCCCCGAGGCCGGTGCTGGGCGTGGACGGCGTGGACGCCCGCTGCCCGCGGTGAGTGACCCTCTCCTCGCAGCAGAGCCAGGAGTCCAGCCCGGACCGCGTCTCGCTCTACAGCCTGATGACCAGGCCCATCCAGAGGTTCCCGCAGTTCATCCTGCTGCTCCAGGTACGGGCCCCCGACCCCTGCTGACCCCGGTGACCCTGGTGACCCCGGTGACCCCTGAACCAGTCCTCCCTGTAGCCTCAGCTCCTCCTCTCCTCCGAGGGGCCCGCACCAGCCTGCGTCCTGTGTTCGGCTCAGCTGACACTGTCCCCGAGCGTCAGCCCTCGGGCCCAGGCCCGTCCACGTCAGGCGCCAAGTGCAGTAGCGGCCACAGCCGCCCAGCTCGGTCCCACTGGGCTGCCCAGCCGGTCCCCATGCCCCACAGGCTCAGGAATGGGCTGGCGGGGCTCAGGAAGGCACTGGCGTTCGCGGTTTATAACTCGGACGTCAGATGGACGCCAAGGGGGAGGGGCCTGGGCTGCCGGGCGCTCACCGTCCTCCTAGCACCACGTCCCCGACCCCGGCCCTCCCCAGCCCTGCCTGTGGGTTTCCGTGGCGGCTCCCTGCGGAGGCAGACGGATGGCCTCACTGGCCAGTGGGACCTCTTGTCCTGCAGGCCCCTCCCTGGAGGTCCAGCCTCCAATCCACCTGGAGCCACGGCCGCCTTCGCTCAGGCACCTGGACAGGCTCCTCCCTCCCCGTCACTCAGAACCCCGAGTGTCAGGGCTCCGTGCCTGAGCTGGCCTGGGACCAGGACCGAGTGTGTTGGTGCGTGGGTGTTAACGTTTATCTTTATTGGTGTCAGAGAGGAAGGGAGAGGGAGATAGAGAGATACATCCATGATGAGAGAAACATTAGTGGTGAGAGAGAGTCATGGACCGGCTGCCTCCTGCACGCCCCACACTGGGCATGGAGCCCCCAACCCGGGCCTGTGCCCGGACCAAGAATCCAGTCGTGACCTCCTGGTTCACAGGTCGATGCTCAGCCTGAGTCCTGGAGTGAGTTCACCTGGTTTTGGGGAAAGGCCCAGTCGAAGTGTCAGTCAGGCTATGACTCACCCGGTTTGCGTCCTTCCTGACAGCTGACCACACGGCATCCACTGCGGGCAGCCTGGGTGCTGGCGCGTCTGCCGGTGACCACGGCCCTGGGCCCCCACCCGGGCAATCACACACACACACACACACACACACACACACACGGGCGCGCGCACACACACACACACACGCACACACACACACGGGCGCGCACACACACACACACACACACGCACGCACACGCACACACACATGTACTCTCTCCCCAAAAGGACATGCTGCGGAACACGCCCCGCGGGCACCCTGACCGGCTGCCCCTCCAGATGGCGCTGACGGAGCTGGAGACGCTGGCGGAGAAACTGAGCGAGAGGAAGCGCGAGGCGGACCGGCGCTGTGAGATGAGGCAGATCGCCAAGGCGGTGAATGAGCGCTACCTGAACAAGGTGGACACGGACGCCGCCTCCTGGGCCCGCGCCCACTGACCCGCCGCCTCCGGGCCCTGCGCTCACTGACCCTCCACCTCCGGGCCCTGCGCTCACTGACCCTCCGCCTCCGGGCCCGCGCCCACTGACCCTCCGCCTCCGCCTCCGCCGCTAACCCACCGCCTCCGGGCCCTGCGCTCACTAACCCACCACCTCCGGGCCCTGCGCTCACTAACCCACCACCTCCGGGCCCTGCGCTCACTGACCCACCGCCTCCGGGCCCTGCGCTCACTGACCCACCGCCTCCGGGCCCTGCGCCCACTGACCCGCCGCCTCCGGGCCCGCGCTCACTAACCCTCCGCCTCCGGGCCCTGCGCTCACTGACCCTCCGCCTCCGGGCCCTGCGCTCACTGACCCTCCGCCTCCGGGCCCTGCGCTCACTGACCCTCCGCCTCCGGGCCTGCACTCACTGACCCTCCGCCTCCGGGCCCGCACTCACTAACCCGCCTCCTCCGGGCCCTGCACTCACTGACCCGCCTCCTCCGGGCCCTGCGCTCACTGACCCTCCGCCTCCGGGCCCTGCGCTCACTGACCCTCCGCCTCCTCCGGGCCCTGCGCCCACTGACCCGCCTCCTCCGGGCCCGCGCTCACTGACCCTCCGCCTCCGGGCCCGCGCTCACTGACCCTCCGCCTCCGGGCCCTGCGCTCACTGACCCTCCGCCTCCGGGCCCGCGCTCACTGACCCTCCGCCTCCGGGCCCGCGCTCACTGACCCTCCGCCTCCGGGCCCGCGCTCACTGACCCTCCGCCTCCGGGCCCTGCGCTCACTGACCCTCCGCCTCCTCTGGGCCCTGCGCCCACTGACCCGCCTCCTCCGGGCCCGCGCTCACTGACCCTCCGCCTCCGGGCCCGCGCTCACTGACCCTCCGCCTCCGGGCCCTGCGCTCACTGACCCTCCGCCTCCGGGCCCGCGCTCACTGACCCTC